TTGCACTAACCTACTTTTTTATTACTTCCGAGAAAAATGCGTCTAAAGATGAATTGCATTGCATAAAGATGTTATAGTTAGTAACTATTCGGTATTAAAATAAAACATAAATAGACAGAAATCGTTGTTAATGACTTTTACAATCGATTCTCCGCTTCAAAACATAGTTAGTGATTGAATTTGGTTGTTCGGAAAAATGTTAGTTAGTGACTTTTGGCAGCAATAAGACGATATATTAGTATAGATTAGCTGATACTTGCCCGTTTAATTGTGCATAAAAATTTGGAACAATATTTTTTTACGTATTCTTTGGTATAGGCCTGGTGGATTTCAGTTGAATTTGAATTTCTATTTTTAGAATTTTCACAAATTATACTTCCTAACCCTTTTAGAATAATTATATAATAATTTTTTCATATATTCGCTATTTAAACTCGTGTGTTTGTGTATAATAGTTGTTTATGATATTCTTCGATGCGGTGGCAGCACCGGCGGAGAATGCACTAAATCTATACAGTGTGAGCTTTTAAAGTGGAATAAATTTATTATATGAGACACATAAATTAAACAATACGCTTGCATTATTATTATTTTAAATTGCTCATAATTTTACGTAAAAAATATTCTTCAGAAAGCAGATATACCTACAGAAAAATTTCTAAGAAGAGAATCGGGCAATAAAATTGCCAGATTTCGAATAAGCTTCTTCTAAAATCTGCAAGTACCTCTGGCCATTTAGGTTATCCTTGACGATATACCGTTGATGATTACTTATAACTCATAAAATATTAAATGACATATAAAATTATATGATATGAAGGGCCTTATATATAGTAATGCCTTTAAAATATTAAATAATACAGTAGAGGAATAATTGTTGAAATTCCAGCACATCACGTCATCTTTGACGTACGTGACCGCTTTTACTTTTCCGATATACCGTTAACAGTCAGAGACGATTCATATAGCACGCTGACGCTCCCACACACTAGACAACTAAAATACACGTTTATAAATTTCTTTGCTTCTAGCTATAATACATTATCTCTATACGTACTACTGTACCACAATGCTTTAAGACCTCCACTCACACCACTTATAACAATACTAATTATTATTACTTACTTACTAACCAATAGAAATTCGGAAAGAATAGGGTATAAATAAAAAAATAACTAAAATTTAAAATATATTTAAATTAGGAGATATAACTCATCGTATAGTCTTTGACAAAAGCCAGTATCTGAGACGGTTTTACAGAGGTTAGTTCTCTATCTCCGATATCAGTCGTACCAAAGTTACTCAGTGAGGAGGAGTTCTAGTGTTTCCTCATTTTCCCCACAGAATCTGAATTCGCCATTGTTTCTTAGCTTCAATCTGCTGAGGTATTCGTTGAGGAGAGAGTATTCTGTTAAATCAAGTCAAATTTAAGTCCTGAAAAACTTCTTCGAGTGTCTTAGACTCTTGGTAATGAAGAAAAATGGTAATATGGCCATCAACACCATCAACCTGAAGTTATTTTAGTAAACGTAGAAAACAGGCTCTAGAATTTGTATTTTGTTATTACTTTGTCATTATTTTATCATTATATGATTCTATTTTACGTTAATAGTTCTCTACTCCTATTGGTAATATGGCCATCAACATCTGAAGACATGAAGGACTCCTTGTACCAAATGTCTAGTATTTTATTGTGTTATTATTTGGATTTTTGAATTATTTTATACACGTATTATACATTAATAGCCAATAAACAAGACGCAATTGATAAAAATACCAAAATATATGTTATTTCTTTAGTAGGAGGACTCTTAAGATAGATGTTGCTGCTCGTGAAGAAAATAGGAAGAAGTCTCAGGTGTGGCACTCTCTCCTCTGGCCTTTGCTTGATTTGTTTTCTTCTAGACGTAACACCAGAGTACAACACAGGCACGAATACCTGTGAAATATTATGGAAGACTATTAATATTAATAATGTTCAGTGAACAAATTGACATTTCTAATCCTCAAGTCATTTTTGAGTGTAAATATATTTTTTTTGTTATTAACTTTTTGAGAAAATTCATTCTTTATTATTAATAAGTTTTTTGCTTGTTCTAAAATAATTCATTTGGACTTTTCGAAATTTCTGATTAAAATATCTATAAAATTTGAGAAAAAATGTCAGAGTGACATATAAGAAAAAAAACAGCGTCAAAGAATGCAAATCGATAATAATTTTGACGAGGACAAGCCCTAGAGGTCATTACTCTTCTTTATTTTTTAATGGCGCTAACTGCCAGTTGGCTTTAAGAAGGTTGTAATTTATTTTTATTTGAGTAAATATGATATTTGAATGTTGTAGTTTAAAATTCGAGAAAAAATATTTTTTTAGAAATGGATTTGTGTATCTGGAAACTTCTATTCTTTTTTTAATCTTTCTATAATTAGTGTTAATTTTTGAGAAGTTTTATGTCAATTTTTAGTAAATGACGTCTAGAGATTGACCTCGTCAAAATTATTATCGATTGTCATTCCCCAGCCCTCTTTGACGCCGTTTTTTTTTCGATTATACGATATACACCCACATTAGCAAAAAATATAAAGAAATGCTTCGTTGTAAATGTTTGCGCACATCAAAGTGGTCGGGTACCAAATAGTAATATAATAACTGACATTTAAAAAAAAATAAAAAAGTTGAATATCAACAAATTACTTACACACTACCATACTAAATTATTTTTAAAAATTCCATTAATATATTTTAGTTTTGCTACTTTCTAATCCAAGGAAACATCATTGCTAAATTTTTGTAACTAGTCTTTTTCCATATTCTATGCCGCTATTACCATATTTATATTTAAATAATGTTCTTGTCGAAATATCGGTCAGGAGAATATTATCATAAAATATAAATATTATGTCATGAGAAAAAGTTAACGATGCCTTATAGAACTGTTATTATAGTAATTTAAAGATATATGATCGGATCGTTACAATTAAGGCAATTCTTTGAATTAATAAGATTTCCGTAGCATTAATCATGATGGAATTAAATACAGTGTTTCTAAGATAAGAAAAAACAACGTAACAATTATTAAATAATAGTAATGAATAATTAAAAAATCTTCTACTCTTGAACTAAAAATGAAATCTTTAAATAAAAATTTCTATTTATTGCCTACGTAAGTGAGTATAATTTCTCTCTATTTCAATTGTATTTCTCCAACCGTACATACCAGAACACTTAAAGGTCAACCGAACTTTAATGCAAAGTTTACCTTTAGGGTTTTGAAGCTCACGAAAATTGAATGCCGATCGCGAAGCTAAAATCGGTTTTCTTTTAGCATCAAAATAACCGAAATGTTTTGAATTAATAGCCCAGTCAATATGAAAGTGGAAAAAATTAGTAACCAACCAATTTCAGCGGGAATGTGCAGATAATGATCTCCTATTTAACCCCTCAAAAGTTCCATTCGGTCCCAGTGGAGAAAATTTGAAAAAAAAATTTTTTTTTCAAAAATATCGAAATCTTTTTACTTATCATATTGTTGCAGACCCGTGTGGACTCGACCTAACCTAACTATATGTCCCGCCCTCAGATGACCTTAACATCGCATTAAGGAATAGACACCGTAATGATGCATTCGTTCGAGAAGAATCGAGTCCCAATGGAATGGACTAGTACATACGAGAACATTCGAAAACCTTCTCTACGCACCTAACGATCTATGGACTATTCTAGAGTTCTTTACCTGTCGGTATAAAAGCCGGCGGCCGTGGCCTACAGGGGGCAGTTATAAATATACCAGTGCAGTTGACGCGCTAAAATTCAAAATAAATTCTTAGTTATCTCCTTTTTCCTGTTTTTCACACAGCCCACTCCAGAAATTTTAAATTCATTTTTTAAAGCAAGAATGTCAAAAGTTGACATATGATATGTCATTCTATTCAGAGTGTCATTTCCGGTAAAACAGGAAGTGGCCGAAAACAATTGAATACGACAATCAATCCTGATTTATGTCATATACTAACGTAACAAATCTCGTTTATTTATCTGAAAAATAAAAAAGTTATAGGGGTGATCCACTTTTGAGAAACACCCGGTATTAAACTCGAAACTATACAGGGTGTCACAGAAATAGGTGCAAATATTTTAACTGGTAGTATAGATCAAACCCAGAAACACGTCTAAGGTTTTTTTCGCGAAAAAAAATTTTGAAAATTCGAAATTTTTTGAAAAATTGTTAGGAATTTTTTTAGTTTTTAGTTAAGAAACATAATTTTTTTGATAATATGGAAACATAGGTATTAGATTAAATTTACATGAAAGAAAATCCAGAAAAGATCCAGTGGTTCTCAAAATTTTAGCAAAAAATCATTTTTTTTGGAAGTTTTCAGGGTAAAATAACTCGAACGTGAAAAACGATAAAGAGAAAATATGTTTTTTTTATCGAGATCTACCACCCCTTAAAATACTTGCACTTATTTCTGGGACACCCTGTATAAACATTTTAAGGTTATCTACTGTTATTGTTGTCATGAGACATCAACAGTCCATAGGACGGGAAACCCCTTTTATGAGACTGCATGTTAAAATCTATTTTAGAAATAATATTGAACTGATGGCAAGGCAACAACCTTCTGAACCTTAGAAAAATTGTTATAACAATAGAAACAATAGGTATATCAAATTTAATTTTAATATTGTTGGTTCCCACGTTATTAGAGAAAGGTTTTAATACACTGCACTGTTTTAAATACATAAACAATAAATTACAAAGCATGAAACATTATTAAATCACTTTAAAATAATTCTTGTTTAAAAAATTTCCTTTTTTAGTTTTTGAAGAATATGATCTAAAAATATTTAGTGTGTTAGGGGTAAAATTGGTATAAATGGTTGTAATAATCAGTATTTAATTTATGGTTTAAGGTTTATTGTTTCTAAATTATTTATAATATAGTTCAGTTTTGTAACAGGAAATAAAAAAAATCTTTTAAATTTTCTATCCTAATAACCAGTCATTCAGTATATATTTTCTAATCTATTACTATTAATAATATAATTAAAAATGTGGACAATTGAATTATGCTCTCTAAAGCACTATTCAGAACTATAACTATTCTTGAAATTTTGGCTTTAGTTTCGTTGTGTCTCGTGGAGTCTCTTAGGCAACGCCGATGGGCACCATTTGTGGATAGAGCAGTCTGTCAATTGCTGCCTTTTTGGTAGCTGATCGAGGAGCACCATGTCCTGGTCTTCCCCATAATGAAGTCCAAGTAGAGAAGTGACGTCTAGCAGTCTCGTCTTCCAAAGCTTTTAGTTCCTTTAATTTGAGATAATACAAATATACTCTAAATGGCAATACGTTCTATTTTTATGAATTTTTTTTCTACATAATTAAAAGTTACTTTTTGTAAATACCACTGCGTTTAAACCAAACGGAAACCAGCTTTTCAGTGGCTTTGGTAAAACTCGGAAAATTCGTTATAATAATGGTTTTATTATTCACTATTCTAATCAAAAATATGCATTCCTTCGGAAACTCTCTATTTATTTATCTAGTAATGCTAAAACACTCTATTTGGAAGTCGATTAGAGAAAACTGTAAAAATAGTATGATTCATTGGCAAGCGATGTAAATATCTGCGATCAGGTATGATGTAAGAGGACAGTCTTAGCTTGCCGGCGAGTCAGTTGTAGACGGGCCGGTCGGCTATACTGTACTGTAAAGTTGTGCTGTGTTGTGTTTTGTCACAGAGCTGACATTTTGAGGTTGCGAGTCTTTTGACTAAGGTTGCGAGTCTTTTCGACTATTAAGGATGCGAGTCTTTTGACTATTAGGATGCGAGTCTTTTGAATATTAGGATGAGAGTCTTTATGACTATTAAGGATACGAGTCTTTTGACTATTAGGATGTGAGTCTTTATGACTATTAAGGTTGCGAGTCTTTTTGACTATTAGGGAGGCGAATCTGCTTAGCGGCAGATTTGCGTCCGGGGGAAGCCCCTATACTGATTTCAGGTGACACCAGCTAGTTGTTGAAGATTAACCAATAAATCCGAACAATATTTGAATTAGATGGAAGATATGGAATGGGATATATTGAACAGAATGTCAGTTGCTAGGGGGCGGAGTACCCCCGGGTGAGTTTTACTATTTAACTATCAATTTTATCTAGATCAGTAAATGTTTGTTTTCTTATTTTCATGTACAATGAGAGTCTGGTTGCCAATGACCAACTAAGCCCCAGCAATAAGCGACTTTACACTTTTTGCTTGCAAAACAAATTTAATTTAACTGTTAGACAAAAAATACGTTTTTAATAGGTATATCTCTTCCTAATTTATCATCAGAAGCAAAAAAACAACTAAAAAAATATTTAAAATATCTAAATACATCTAACTCTAAAACTCTATGGTATTAGGTGGGTGAGACGTCCTGCCAATGAGAGGTTCAATCCCAAGTACACCATACCCACCATAAAACACGGAGGTGGGAACGTTCTAGTTTGGGGTTGTTTTTCTGGGCATGGGGTCGGGCCCCTTGTTCGAATAGATGGAATTATGGATCGTTATATGTATTTAAATATTTTGCAACAAACAATGGTACCTTATGCTGAATCCTCTCTCCCCTTAACCTGGAAATTTATGAACGATAATGATCCGAAACACACTGCCAAATTTATTAAGGAAATTTTAACCGAGGAACAAGTTGAAGTGATCAAATGGCCAGCTCAAAGCCCCGACGTGTACTCTATAGAGAACCTATAGGATTAACTAGAAGTCGATGTTAGGCGTAAAAACAGGGACAAATTTAAAAATAGAGATGTTTTGTTCGCTGCCCTATTACAAGCCTGGAATGAAATATCCGGGGACGTAATAAAGAACTTGATTGAGTCTATGCCCAGAAGGTGCCAAGCAGTCATCAAAAGTAAAGGCTATGCAACCAAATACTGAGGACTAGCGACTACATATGTATAAAAAGTACTCCATTTTCAGTTTCTGCATTTTTGTCCTCATAGAAATTAGTTTAATTTTTTCAAAATTTAATAAAGGCTTTTTCCAAAAAAATCTTGAGTGTATTTTTATGAGACAGTTATTCTATGCATAAATATATATACTTTATAAACATTTTCGTTCTTGTAAAACGGCAGCAAATAAATTTAAAAAGTTTCTCCACTTTTGGCCGGTGCTGTAGATGGACAATAACTTAACCATCTAAGACTCGCTGATGACATAGTCTTAAATGACAATAGTCCTGAAGAACTACTTCTTAAGGTGCCGTGCAGATTCCTGCGTAAGCGTTCATCTTTTTCTTCTTCATCAGATGGTTCTGTTAACTGCAGCGACTTGGAGTGCTTGGAGGTCCCGTATGCCTGTCCAATGACGAATATTTCTCAGCCAGGATAGCTTCCTTCGACCTATTCCCCTTTTGCCCCCCTCTATTTTACCCTGGAGAATCAGACGCTGAAAGTGATAGCGTTCTCCACGTAGTATGTGTCCCAAATAGGCTATTTTCCTCTTCTTGATGATTTCGAAGAGTTCACGTTGTTCCAGACCAGCTCTTCCGAGAATGTCTTCATTCCTCACACGGTCGACCCAGGGCACTCTTAACATTCGTCGTAGGGTCCACATTTCGAAGGCTTCAATTCGGTTTATTGTTGCTACCTTCGGTGTCCATGCTTCCACACCATATCACAAAACGGACCAGACATAGCCCTTCACCATTCTGTATCTAAGACCGAAGTTCAAATTCCTATCTGTGAGAAATCTTCGCAGTCTCAGAAAGGTAGATCTTGCTTGTTCGATCCTGCATTTGATCTCCTGATCTGGATCTCACGTTTCGTTAACCATGCATCCCAAATATTTAAATTGTGTGACCTGCTTGATGGCCTCTCCATTTAAGTAAATTCTGGTGTTCGGAATATTGTTTCTGCTAACAGCCACAAATTTAGTTTTTGTAGTATTTATGTTTAAACCCAGCCTTTGACTTTCACTGTTAACCTTATTTAGAAGGATTTGGAGATCATCTGCATTGTCTGCAAATATCAGAAGGAACTTAAAACAACTAATGCACAGCTCAAGATCTTTACGATTAAAAGTCAAGAGAAGAATTAAGGTAACATGGAAAAAACTCAATCATGTTCAGAATGCCACTTTATCTAAAGAAGAAAACATTCGACCAATGTGTACTACCAGTCATGACCTATACATGCGAAACCTGGAAACTTAAAACATACATCATAAGAAAACAGCACGTCGCACAATGCTCAATGGAACGAAATATGCTGGGAATCACCAGGAGAGACTGTAAAAGAATAGAGTGGATACGACAAAAGACCCAGGTAATAGATGTCATCCACAGAGTGGCAATCCCTCAAGTGGCAATGGACAGGACACCTGGCAAGAAAGACGGTCAACAGGGGAACCACAAAAATTACAGCATGACACCCACAAACAATTAAGAGACCTAGAAGAAGACCGAACATAGTTGACCACAAAGAGAGTACCTAAATATGTGAGAGAGGCTACAATATAATTGGAAACGGTTGAATAAGCTGAAAATGATGATGATGATGATGATATATAAGTATTAATAGACAGAATTATTAATGAAAGAAATGTTAACAATAATGAATATTTATTTAAATAAAATTCTTAATAACATTCTTCATATAGTTCCATATTTTAGTTTATATATATTTCTATAAAACATTTTCTATTTATTGTTTTATCTATCTTTTAGTATGTTCTCTCAATCTGATTCATTTGGGGTAGCTAAGTTCCTAGGTGACTTGGTTCTACATGTCCGACCCATAAGCAATTGCGAAGGAGAATACCCAATATACTTCAAAGGCGTATTCCTGTATTGCAATAGAGCCAACTCAATATCCATACCATCTTTTATACATTCCTTGACTATATTTTTCCCTAACTCTACACCCCTTTCAGTCAATCCGTTTAAACGTTGACAATTGACATTTATTACCAATGAAAAATTCCAGTCTGCTGCAAATGACTTAAATTCAATGTTGTCAAAAGGCTTGTTATGGCAGATAACCTTATTTGGTAGTCCGTGAGTAGAGAAAATTGATTTCATTAATGAGATAAGAGTTTTCACTGATTTTTCTTTGAGAGGAACCAACTCTAACCAGTTAGAAAACGCATCAAACAAAATTAAGTAGTTTTTATTGCAATAATTAAAAATATCTATAGTAATTTTTTCCCAAGGTTTTTCAGGAAAATGATGTCCTAACACAATCTCCTTATTTCTTTTTTTCGATCGAGACTCACATACTTTACATTTATTTATGAAGGACTCAATATCAGTTAACATTTTTGGCCAAAAAAATAACTGTCTAGCTCGTGACTTTGTTCTGTCAACATCAAAATGACCTTCGTGCAGTATACTAAGCACTGGTTGTCGTAGATCTGACGGCACCACCATTTTGTCGTACAAAAACAAAAGGTTATCACACACAAAGAGATTATGCTTTAAAGGAAAATAATTCCAGATATTAACAGGTACTTGTCTCTTGTGTTTGGGCCAGCCCTTTTCACAGTAATCAAGTACCAATTTTAGGTCACAGTCTGTGTTTAGGGCATTTTGAAATTCTGACTTACTTTTGTCTGAGAGTTGCATGTATTTATCAATACAATGAATGATACAATCATAATCTAGGCTATTTTGAAGTAGCTGAGTGTGAGGGGATGTATTTATATCAATTTCAGACTTGTACAATACTGTAAAGTTATAGTTTATAAGACTTAGTCTCAGTTTTCGTAATCTCGGAGTCAGTGAGCTCAAATCTTTACAAAACACGCCTTCTAAAGGTTTATATTTAGTAATAACGTTCACATGAAGTTCCCCAATCAGAAAATTGAACTTTCCCAGTCCAAAAATGACCGCTAGCATTTCTTTTTCGATTCGAGTATAGTTCTTTTCTCGCAAACTCAAGTTTCTAGATGTATAAGCTACAGGATGCCCATCTTGTAGTAAACAAGATCCCAAATCATTTCTTGAAACTTCAGTTTCTATTTCAAAGGTCTTGTCCGGGTCAAGAAATTTCAAAATGGAGTTGTGATCGCACTGAAACAGAGATTTCTCTGTAAGAATTCGGTTTTGAATCTTGTTTCTTGTGCCCTTATTGTGCTCTATCTAATTTTGTTCCAGTGCAAGATAATGATTTGTAGGTATCTATTTGCACATGGTCGCGTTCTTTGTGAGCTTCTACTAGCTTGATTAATCTTCTTGTTTCTTTTAGATGTGTGTTTTAGGTTTGGAATTTGAGCTTCATAATACAAACATCTTACAATCAGATATATACATTTCGATTTTGATGCTTTCTGGTAAACGGGTAAACGTATATTTTTTTCTTTAGTAGATTTTCTCAAATAACTTTAACATTAAACGGTTTGCTGCAGTCAATCCTACGTAGAATCAACTGTGATTTTTTTGTTTTTTTAATTTAAAAAAAAATTGTATAATGGTTCGTAGACTATAAATAATTTCGCCTAAACAATTTTATATAAATGTAACTTTATCTAATATTTAGGTGGATATAGCTTGTGACTAGTACTGTTTTATTACACCCCTAAAAATATTCTAACAACATGGTACCAGAATTGAAAAAAAAATAAAAAAATAAATGCATGCATAATTTACACTCTAATAGGTTTAAAACATCTCTAGTCACAGCAAAGTTGTTCAGAAAATACAGGGTGGCGCACCTCATTCGCCTCGGTTGATTATAGAGCATTTGAATCTGCCTCGATTTATTTAAAAAAAAATACAGGGTGTTGTATTTGAAATAACAAAGTTTTTATGTAAAATAAATCCTTAAAATAGGTCACTAATTTTTGGTACCCTGTATAAATTTAAAGAAGCAACAACATTTTTGAGTAAAGTTTATTTCTTTGCCTTTAAACTCAGCACAAGAATTAATTCTGAAAAGTAATGTACAGGGTATTGATAATCAATTCTCTTGTAGCGTGCATATTTAAATATCTTTAAATATCTCAAAAACCAATTATTTTAAACATATTTAACCCTTATAATAAATGTCTTTTTTTGGACCCAAGAATCCAAAAATGAAATAAAATACAGGGTGTTCCATAAGAAAAAATATAAGTTTGATATGGATCTTAGTTCTGAGACACCCTGTATATTTCAAAATAATTTTAAATTGTGCACATTGCCTCCCCACATATACCCATAAAATATTTTGTTTCTACATCTTTCCGTTTTCGTATAATCAACCGAGGCGGATGAGGCCCCACCCTATACAGGGTCCGGCAATAGTGCGTCGGGCATCTGTAGCTCCTAGAATAAAAAACTTGAGAATTTTGTTTAAGGGCGAACCTAAAGTATGTGCCAGGATGTATTTCAAGAAAATATTTTAACTTCTATAGGGTGGCTCAAAAAAGTGTGAGTGGACCTTGATGATTTTTTTTAAATGGAACACCCTGTATATTATTGCATTTTTAGCTTCCTTTCAGATCACTTTACATAACCTTAAGATATGAATAAATATATTTTGACAGTTTCAGAGATTTAATTAGAGAAAAAATTATTAAAAATACAAGAACTGTCCTGAAATCAAAACTATATTAGGTATTTACTTTAAATGGTCTGTACTTACTTTGCTATAAATATGAAAATCGTAAATTATACAGAATGTTCAAAATTCTGCGCCAAACTTTCTAAAATATAAAATAATTTTTCCTCGTTTTTTTAAATGGAACACCCTGTATATTATTTTTTCAATAGACGGAGAATTAAAAAATGAACATTTTTTGTATTTAGAGTATTTCAAAATTTTTAACGGTTTTGCAGATATTTGCGGTTTTATATTTCATATGGAATTTTCCACAGTAAATTTTTATGAAAGCCACCCACACCCAATGATTTTTCTCTCGTATTTTACCATCGAAAGCGCCATATGAAATAATACTGCGCGTATCTGCGAAACCGTTCAAAATTTTGAAATACTCTAAATACAAAAAATGTTCATTTTTTAACTCTCCCTCTAATAAAAAATAATATACAGGGTGTTCCATTTAAAATAACAAAAGAAAAATTATTTTATATTTTAGAGTTTGGCGTAGAATATTGAACATCCTGTATATATACGATTACCATATTTATAACAAACTAAGAACAGACTATCTAAAAGTAAATACCTAATATAGTTTGATTTCAGAACAGTTCTTGTATTTTTTAATAATTTTTTTAAGAAGGGCTGAAAAATACATATTTTTTATTTATTTTTTAATATCTCTGAAACTATCGAAATATATTTATTCATATCTTAGGGTTATGTAAAGTGATCTGAAAGGAAGCCAAAAATGCAATTATATACAGGGTGTTCCATTTAAAAAAAAATCACCCAGGTCCACTCACACTTTTTTGAGCCACCCTATAGAAGTTAATATATTTTCTTGAAATACATCCTGGCACATACTTTAGGTTCGCCCTTAAACAAAATTCTCAAGTTTTTTATTCTAGGAGCTACAGATGCCTGACGCACTATTGCCGGACCCTGTATACAACTAAATAAAATAATGAACATCTGTTTTCAATGTATTTTTTAAAAATTTTGTCAATATCTTGAAAAAAATAAACAAACTGCTGTGACTACAGTTATTAAAATGATGTTATATTAAATAAATCACCTGAGATCTTTCCCTCTTTGACATCATTTGTTGTGACAGTTCTTTCAAATATGCCGATCCATCTCTGTTCCAGAGGTATGATTTGCTAAAAAATTAACAGTAATAATCAGTTATTAATGAATATCCTCCATTGAGGAAACAGTAAACCGGGTGCGTCTCGAAAGTGCACCCCTATAACTTTTTTATTTTTTCAGATAAAATAACGAGACTTGGTACGTTAGTATATGACATAAATCAGGATTGATTGACGTATTCAATTGTTTTTGGTCACTTTCTGTTTCACCGGAAATGACTACAACTTTTGATTTTTAAATGGCGCCCTCGGTATTTTTTTACTTTATTTGATAGAAAATGACATTCTGGATAGAATGATATATCATATGTCAACATTTGACATTCTCGCTTAATAAAAAATTGTATTTTAAATTTCAATCTAGAGTGCCATGGCTATGTTAAAAACATAATTCTTAATCAAGGAGCCTTGGAAAAATAGATTGAATCGTTTAATGTTTTTAGTGTCTTATCCTGACCAGTTAGAAAATGCTCAAATCGTATTTTTAATCATATCTAATTTTTTTCAATTGGAACAAGGGTGGCTGTTATTACGGTGGTTAGGGGGTGGCTCATTAGCATATCTGGAAAAACTCATTTTTTTACGAATAATTTGATACCACACACTTGGTATTTCGAGTAAAATTTTCGTTACGAACCGCAAGTTATAATTTCAAATAAACCATATGGGAAAATGTCAAAAGTTGACATGTGATATGTCATTTTATTCAGAGTGTTATTTTCTATCGAATAAAGTAAAAAAAAAATACCAAGGGTGTCATTTAAAAATCAAAAGTTGTAGTTATTTCCGGTGAAGAATTTTAGAATTTTAGAATAAGTGGGAGGGGGGTTAATCTCTGCGACCTTAGAGATCTATTGTGCCCCCCTTTCTTGAGTTATAACTCATCATACAGTCCCAGGACTTTCTACGGAGACCCGTGTCCCTCACAGTCGAGGAGCTACGACCCAGGCCGGGTAGACGAAACGGTAGCTTGTGTCGCCTGTTGGGTTTAGAGGTAGGAGGTAGGCTCCCGACTCTTGGAGGAGGTGGTAGCTTGTATGCCACTTGCGGAGGATGGTCTCACGCAAGTATCAGCCACCTCTCCTGTAGTTCCCTTTGGGTTTGGCCCCTTGGAACTTTCATTGTTACTGTTCCCAGTGTCGCTAGGGGGTTTCCCCACAGCTTCACCGGTGATGTTTTTATTACTATTATTACCAGATCTCATAGTGTTCCTATGAGTCGCTAGGGACAGATCTGATTCACTTCTACAGAGCCCCGCATGTAGAAGTAAGGGGTAAAATACAATGGGGTGCCCCAAGGTTGAAGGGCTGTCCGTAGCCCCGCCTGGTATCGTTATATGTCTTGGTGCAATTCCCTGGCCACGACACTACAGTCAGGGACAAGACGATGAGTGAGATGCTTCTTAGACCAAGCCAAGTGCTAGAGGGGATTCCCCCCAGCACCTGACCAGGAGCTTCCCCACCAACGACAATGTCTTGCATCTCCTAGGGGAAGTATTTCGTTGTCTAGGCCGGTTAAAAGATGCACAAATCGTATTTTTAATCATATGTCAATTTTTTTAAATGGAACAAGGGTGACTGATTAGCATATTTCGAAAACGCATTTTTTTATGAATATATTGATACTTGGTATTTCGAATCAAATTGTCGTTATAAACCGCGTGTTACAATTTCAATTAAACCTTATGCGAAAATGTCAAAAGTTGACGTATGATATGTCATTCTATTCAGAGTGTCATTTTCTATCGAATAAAGTAGAGATATACCTAGGGTGCCATTTAAAAAGCAGAAGTTATAGTCATTTCCGGTGAAACAGGAAGTGACCGAAAACAATTGAATACGTCAATCAATCCTTATTTATGTCATATACTAACATACCAAATCTCGTTTTTTTAACTGAAAAAATAAAAAAGTTGAGTTGGGTGAGCCACTTTTGAAACGCACCCGGTATACTATTACGTACCTGAGGTCTCGTTCTTTAGTGACATCAGTACTGCACAGTGGTACCCTGGGTGGTAACTTTCTGTCTTTGGCCAACAGTTGTACCAACTCCACGCCATTTTCCTTGTTGTCCGAAAGTGGCGAGAGTTTTCTGTTATTTGGGGGAACTACCGAATTCTTTTTAGTGTTGGACGGGTAGATAATAGGGTCAAGTTTTACCACACGGTTCGGTGGAATAACTTTGGACTTCTTGAAGTTTTCGTAGTTTCTGTAATAAAAGATTTTTGTTGTACAGGGTGTTTCAAAAAACATATGTCATCTCTCGTGGGGAGATTCCTCGTTTTTTTTTTCGTTTGTTATAATTTTCTTCCAAGTACTTTTCGTGATTCGATTCAAATTTTGAATCGAATCAAAAATTTTGCTTAAAAAGTGTCGATAAATTCATCAGGGGCGTGCGTATGGGTTATTACTGGAATATTTTTCAAAAAAGCAATATGTGCGCCACTGACTTTTTTCTTTTGATATCAAAATTGCGTAGGTCGTTTTATGCCAATTAAAATTTATCTCTTTTTATTTTGTTGAATTCAGCCTCCTTAATGAGAGAAACGCAATTTTATTAATCACAATTAATAAAATTTAAATAAAAATAAAATTAATAAATTATATATTTTACTTAATTTATTATCTTAACTCTAAAACTATGCATTTCTATACCCATGTTTATAGGACTTTTTTTGTATTTTTTGATGAGGAATCAATGAGTACTTATTTAAAACTTTTGCAAGTTAATGATATGAAATTTTTTTAAAGGTTATTGCTATTAGACTTGGATGAACGCAAATTAATAAAAATACAAGAGACAACTTTTAATCGGAATTCAACTGCTTACACTATTTCGCTAAAAAGAGGAAAAAGAGTCAGTGGCGTACATGCTTTTTTTAGAAAAAAATATTCCAGTGCATATGGACACGTCCCTGTTGAATATGTCGGCACTTTTTTAGCTTTAAGATATATCTCATTTATAGTAACTTTTACCCTGAAAATTTCAGTCGAAACACTAAAAGTACTGAAGAAAATTATAATAAATCGAAAAAAAATATTAAGATTTTAACACCCTGTAGCTACGAAACAAAGCGGAATCGGAGGTATGTTGATATGAAAAATGAATTTTATTTTTACGTGAGGAACATCCCCACGAAAGATGGCACATGTTTTTTTAAAACACCCTGTATATTTTATTCTTTAAATATACAGAAGTCTCTCGTTTCGGGCGGGCGCGGGGGTTAGAATGCATAATGAATTGCATGTTTTTTTTTAATTTTTAAACTTTCATTTAAAAAACATAATATCTTGATAATATGGCAACATAGGTATAGGTAGTTAGAAAGCAGATTAAATTTAGAGAAAAAAAACGAAAGAAACAGTGGTTTTCAAAATTTAAGCCATTTTTTATTTTAATATACTGGGTGGTCCGAACTGTATAATTTCGGCAGCATATTCTGCAGATAAAAATAAGTAAAAAAGTTCGTATAAATGTATGTCACTCAAAAACTATCTACTCAACGTGTTTATTTTTTGTCAATAATGACATGTATTGACTATTTCCATTCTAAATATCTTGAAAACGGTTGCTCGTAGCAATTTTTACCAAGAGATATTTTTTACGTAAAAAATCACGGAAATGTATATTTCTTTACTCAATAGTTCTATACAGGTACGAACAAGAAGTTATTAATCTTCAAAACAGTTAAAACACATGTTGGTGGCGCTCCCTACAAATAGGAGTCATATTGATACCAAAATCAAATTTCCCATATCAAAAAACTTCCAGACACCAATTTTCATCCAAATATTGACGTTACTTCAGAAATTATTTGGAATAAATCGAAATAAAAATGAAACTTCTACACCCTGTATCTCCGAAACTAAGCATTTTAGGACATACATTTATACGAACTTATTTACTTATTTTTATCGGCAGAATATACTGTCGAAGTTTCCGGAATACAGTTCGGACCACCCTGTATAGTATAATCTTTTTAATCATGTTATTTTCTTAATAGTTATATTAAGAAAATAATTATTATCTGCAGCCTATTTCGCAGATAAAAATAAGTAAAAAGTTCGTATATTCGAACATTATCACTGCTGTATTAAGTTTAAAGAGATTATAGGATAGTTAAAAAATTTTTACAAAACATGTATTACTTTTGATCCTCGTAAGCTTTTTTAAGGGCTTCGTTTTCAAGTTTCCTCAAAGTGGCATCGTTTGACCATCCCTAAAAATACACATTGTTTGAAATTAAATGAATTGACCACCTACATATTATGTTATACGAGTATGTATAAAAATGTAAGTATACTATAAACATACCGTGCTGGCAACTGTTACTTTTGGGTCGGCATTTACATGTGTGGAAGTAAATCGCATAGGCATCTTATTAAGTCGGAGTGAGAGAAATGTGACAGACCGACGCGACGCGCGACGGTTTGCTGTTGCGGCGTTGCCGATACGCCTTTCCCTATCAAGTAAAGTAAAATCACGATCGCAAACCGCTTATTTTTAAAAGATTTTTTTTTCAAGAGATAACTAGATAAAATCATTAGACATGTTTCTGAGCATCTGAAATGGAGTTATAAGGATATCGTCAGGGTGTCATTTTTTTATAACGAGAAAACGTCAGAAATCGCGATAATTTAAAAACTCAACATTTTAACACATAACAGGCCATAACTCAAGAACCACTTTAGATATTGAAACTTTTTTTTATTTTCAAGATCGGATATTTTACAATATGTTTACATAAGGAAAATTCGATAAGGTTGTTTTTTCTGTTCAAAAATTGTAAACAATCCATCCATTTACTTTTAGAGCATAGCAATTTTCAGCAATCGTGTAATTTTTTTATTGATAAAGATTTTCACAAACTGTCTACAAAGAAAATACAGCAGAAATATTAACAAAGTTCTTGAAAAAACTACAATCTATTATTTCTAATAGATTTCGAGATATCGATTTTTGAATTCGGAGTTCTAATAGCGCGACCACTATCGAACACCCATTCAATTCCACTTATTTTTACCAAAAATGCAAGTGTTTCTTGCACTTAAAAAAATTCAAGCTGTAAGGAAAATTACAACGATTCGTTAATAAATGAACAAATTAAGTATCACGAGACGTAATTAAATCGTGAAGCTGAACGCATGACGTACACCTTTCCCTAGAACTTTAAGTACTGACAGAGGTATTGATTGGGTCGACCGGTCAACTGCGACAAATCTGCTATATCCCCTTTCACGTCTCTTAGCGATGTGCACAGTTTCTCAGTTTATTTCATATGTTTGGTAACGTGTTTACTGTCCTCTCTTTGTTCAGTACATTATAAACGCATTGTACTCTTCTTACATACGGAAATCTCGACCCAAGACTAACCTTTGTCAGCCCTTAGTCTAAGAAAGTGAGTAAGCTACACAACCAACTAAGTGTAGCTCACCATGGATTTTAAAAACCCAAGTCCGATGGCGTTCGGTGATCTCCATGGTCTACCCCCTGGTCCTCTCTTACCCCAAGGAGGCGATTTTAAAAACTTTCAAAAAGTCGACATTCAGTAAAAAAATTAGATCGTCAGCAAAAACAAATATTTTTTCGTCTGGCTAAAAAACTAACTTTTAAAAACTTACCTGGCGCTTTTCGTACTCCTGTTCTAGAAGTTTCTTTCGCAGCTGATTCTGCTTCTTTTCCTCAACTAATTTATCTACAAGAAAACTTGATTACAATAATAATAATTTACACACTAGATTGTTGAAAATATTCTGTAAGGGTACTGGCCTGGGTCAACCAGGCGGGCTAGACGATCCCCTGAGAGTTGGTCTTAGCAGAGCAGAAGCACGGAGCTACCTTCGACTGCTCCACGAAGGGGAGACACTCCTCTGAAAAGAGGAGAGTAAAGAAATCAAGAAACAACCTGACTCATCTCCATCAAAGGGCAAGAGAGGGAGCGAGAACCTCTCACCTCTTCTTCGACAGGGAGAGAAAAAAGCCAGGATGGAAAGCCGTCCAACACCTGGAGGCAAGCAGGGACCGTATCAGCAGCTTTGTTGCTATTGCTGGACAAGTGAAAATGGCGGTGCTACCAAAGCATTTCCCAGAGGTTGCTCTGACCACCGACCAGCAAACGTCTCTAGAAGAGGCTATATTGGACAAAGTAGTGGCGATCGGATCGCAACACAACGATCTACAAAATGTTGGTCAGCTGCGTTTTTGGGGATACACTTTCGGGTGGGCCTGATCCTCATAGATTGTGTATCTCGAGAATCGGCGAATTGGTTGGTGGAAATCGCACCTTAGCTTAAAAATTGGCAAAGTCCCGAACTGGTGCAGTGAAGGGAGAAAACATCCCTAAAGGGGCAGCCATCACGGTCTTTCTGCCGAGGAGCAAGGGGAAAGACACCACCTACCTACTGCGCCTTATCCATGGTCAGAACTTCAATCACATTCAGAACATCGAGTTGGCGGGTCATCAACTCGAGGGAGGAGGGTCATGGTCAGGTCCTCACAATAGGAATTGACCTCAAATCCACGGAGGCAATAGAGAAAGAGGGACATATCTTCTATTATAGATACGGGACAACACCGGTATCAGGTCTAAGGAGAGACCAAGTTAAAGAGGTGGAGAAAATGGAGACAGATCCTCCAGCCTCCACCTCACGGGTTCCTCAGCCGGAGGCAAGCTCCTCGACTGTGAAGGGCGGCACGGAGGGCCTAACTCCAACCGTGGAAGGGTGTGTACTCTCGGAGGCAGAACTGTTGTCAGAGGAGGATTGGAAATACCCTGTCCCTCTACAACAGGGGTATGATGGGTTATGGATTGTGTGATGACTCAAGGAAGGGGGACACAATAGATCTTTAAGGTCGCAATGATTAACCCCCCCCCTCTCTTACTCATTCTACATTCTACAAGGGTACTAGATCTCTTTACCAAGTGCTTTTTTGTATTCCAGTTGTTGTTCTCTGTTTGTTTTGTATCTGAACGTGTTATCTACCGCTCTACGTAAGTCGTTTCCGAACTGAAACCTCAACAATGGATCTTCTTTGGTTTTCGCCATTTTTTGACCATCTTTTTCTATGGGTGCTCCACAACCAGGACGACCTAAGTCTAAAGTACCAACGAATCTCTTGGCCTGCAATGAAATACAAGTATTTAATTCGGTTATATTAATAATGCAGTATTAAGAAAAAAATCTTCATGTTAAACAGATTAAAACACCCATCATTATTTTTTATTCCATTTTTTAAGGTTTCTGAATAAAATAGAATAAATCTTTGATATTCGATACTGTCAGAACAATAATAATTGTTAACTTAAAAATTAATTCCCTTGTGGTCAGTCTTAGCCTTGCAGATAAAACGCTAGTCTAGGTGTTGGTCTCAGTTTTTGTGCAAGACCAAGACCAAGACCAGTCTCGTTCGTCACTACGAGCGGGCGTGCTAAGCGCGAGACTTATCAATCCGCAGGTCGGGCAATCGCGATCGCGAAAATACGCATTGGCATGACACTTCGCACGCCACGATTCATGGCTGCTCGGGTGCTTTATCACTCACCAGAGGAAGACAGTGAGCATTAGCATCAAAACTAATCAGTTTTGATTTTAATCGCCGCGCCGCACAGTGTTGCATCAAATGGACAAAATTCAAAAACATGAACAAATATTTTGTTACTATTATATAAATAAACTAGCGTGTACCCGCGACTTCGTTCGCTTCGTCTTAATCATTTGTAATAGTGATGATAAAGCAAAGCAAGAATTTCCATTAGCATACAAACCATATGCAAACTGAATAAAATTTTCTCACATTTATGTCAGCATGAGAAAAAACAATATGGCGATATTATTATATAACTTGGTAATATTTGAGGGGTAGTTTCATCTCGTTGGAATTTGACTTTCGAAAAATCCGTTTGCCAAAAATAAGCTTTTAACGTCAAGCAGTTTAAGCAGAATCGTGGTTAATCAATTACCCAACTTTTTGGAACACCCTGTATGATTCCCAAATAATTATCGATTGTCATTCCCTGGCCGTCTTTGACGCTGTTTTTTTTTCGATCATACGGTACTGGATAAGCTTTAACAATTTTCAAGATATATGTTTTAAGTGAAGGCTATAAGGGCTGTAAACGCTTGTAAGAATGTCCTCAGAAAGCATCTTAGTATTCACTGTATCTTTAGTAGTCACCTAGTTGAACTTTGGCACACAATTTTTTAACCCCTGTATATATACTGTTTATATAACGACCTTCCTCTATCTATTCGTGATAGCAAATCTGAAATATGATACTATTTGGCAACAACTTATATTTCGCTATTATTCAGGCAGCATTAAACGAGGGTATTATGGATAGGGCTAATTAAGTATACACATTTGCATGCAAGGAAGCTTTACATTTGCAAATAGGCTAGGGAGCGTAGAGGTGATGAACCCTGTAATAGTTCAAATACCTTTAGGCGAGAAATATTACGTGGTGGGTGCGGTAGCGTATAACTTTAGGGCTTGTTAGGTAATTCTGTCTCAATTTATTATGATATTCCTTGAAATTTAATTGGATGTTTAAACTTTAATTTCAGTTTTCATTCTATTATTGAATATTGATAAAAAAATTAATTTCTTTTAACTTGCATGGCAGTAGCATTTTAATAATTTAATACGTAAGCCATAGTTACAGGATCTTGGATAGTATAAAAATATTTTAAGTATTACCTCTGTATTAACCATTTTTGAACAAGCAAAAACTTTTATGAAGAAAGTATTTTTCTCAACAGCGGGGATATAGGTACTGTATACCGGGTGTTTCTGAAAGTGGTCACCCCTATAATTTTTATTTTTTCAGATAAAAAAAAGAGATTTGGTAAATGATTACAACTTTTGATTTTTAAATGACACCCACAGTATTTTTTTACTTTATTCGATAGAAAATGAGACTGAATAGACTGGCATATCAAATATTATGTGAATTTTTGACATTTTCGCATATGGTTTATTTGAAATTGTAACATGCGGTTCGAAAATTTGACTCGAAATACCAAGTGTGTGGTACCAAATTATTCGTAAAAATGTTTTTTACAAATATGCTAATGAACCAGCCTCATTCCATTTGAAAAAATTGAGATATGATTAAAAATACTATTTGGATATCTTTTACCGGCCAGGACAAGACACGAAAAACATTAGACACTGAAATATATGATATAATGATATATGTTTCCAAGGCTCCTGGATTAAAAGTAGTGTTTTTAACACAGCCATGGTACTCTAAATTGAAATTTAAAACACGATTTTTTTGAGCAAAAATGTCAAAAATTGACATATGATATGTAATTCTATTCAAAGAGTCATTTTCTATCGAATAAAGTAAAAAATACCGAGGGTGCCGTTTAAAAATCAAAAGTTTTAGTCATTTCCGGTGAATCAGGAAGTGACCGAAAACAATTGAATACGTTAATCAATCCTAATTTATGTCATATAGTAATATACCAAATCTAGTTATTTTATCTGAAACAATAAAACAATTATAAGGGTGAGCCACTTTTCAGAATCACCCAGAATCCTCATTAATTATCAAACTAAAATTTTATTTATTTAAATGACTTATTTATTACTACCTCTTGTTGTTCTTTAACTTTTCTGCGATTAGCCTCCTCCTTCTGCCTTTTAAGTAATTCCATGCCTTCCTTGACAATACGCTCCTCTAAGTACTTCTTTTCCATATCCTTACTCGTCTGTACCGCTTCGTTTACGAACATTTTCATTCACCAAACCCTACCATCAACAAAGAATGTAAATAAATATTTATTTACTAGAAACCCGGCTGGTTTAAAACGTTTTACAGACCGAAACTAACCTTCCTTTTGAGCCAATTTTCTAATTGATTAGGGTTTGTGTGAAATGACACAATAGTCTTTTGTTGTCTTTGGAATGACTAAAATTTTCAAAGCCTTCTGGACTGGTAAAAGCGGAACGCGAATGTTTTTCTGTGACAGGCACCGAACCGCAGCCTCGCGAAAATCTGGGAAATCTGTTTCCACTGGAAAATCTTTTTAACGTGCAAGGCCCACTAAGTAGCAGGCGCAAACATTAAATCTTGTTGATTCTGCTCATTATCTTTTTCCTCTAGTTTCCTCTTTCTGTCCGCTATTTATCCTGTTTATCTCAAGATTGGTTTGGTTTGATTTCATCGGATGATATGGACTACAGAGAAATTATTAAATTGAAAATATTAGGAAAAATAGTGGTGCAATTTTCAAAGTATTCCTTTGGATGTGGTAGACAATGATTCAGTACTGAAACTAAAAGAATTTCGGACCTTCCATTGTCTTTATTAATCAGTCATTCAGTCAAAGAAATCTCTCTAAAGATCTTAATAGTCTATTACGCTGTAACTGTTCGGGTCACTCTCAGGGTCGGGTAAAGCGGGTGTGTGGCCGAAGGAAATATATATTATATTTCAGAAATCTACCTGAGGCTTAGCCCGATCCTGTCGTGTTAAGCCACATCCAAAATTTCAAACAGACGTGCTTTGATTAAGGCTTGATTAGAGTTTGCAGAGCTTTAGCATTTGCCATAAAATAGCGAGCAATTTGTTACAAAACCATATAAATTATATATCACTGTAATCACAAAACTTCAATCTATTTCCGTATTGTAAAGGAATTTGAAATTATGACTTTATTTTCGAGAAAATTTAGTCCAAACATAAGGAATATTTTGTTGATGTTTGACCATGAAAAATCTTAAAAATAAAGAATTTGTAGAAAAATGTCCTACAATACGGATGTAGTAAAATCGTTTATTTTTAATTTCTTTCCTCATTTGTGTAAAAATACCTATCCGTTTTACATAAAACATTAAATTCCGAACGCTTATTTTGCCACTTTTTCGGTCTAGTGAAATGGACTCAATTTACAGACCAAACTGAGACTATTTAAGTGTTATGTCTGGTTTGTGATCCTGTATGGTGCCGAGTCCTGGATATTGACAGAAGCGTCCACAAAAAAACTTGAAGCCTTTGAGATATGGTAATGCAGACGACTTCTGAGAATCTTCTGGGTAGATCACGTATCAAACAAGACCGTTTTGGAAATGCTTCAAAAGGAGAATATGGTCTACTTCAGTTGATACTCCAGGAAAAGGCACAATCTCCTGGTTGAAAAACCTCAGAACTTGGTTTTCCCTTTCTACAGGAGGATTATTTAGAGCAGCAGTCAGTAAAGTTTGAATCGCTTTGCTTATCACCAACATCCGAAACGGATAGGTACACTCAGAAGAAGTCTAAGAAAATAAAGTCCTCCTACTCTGGATGCCAGCCCACCAAGGCATAGGGATCGGCAAGACAAGAAATCTTGTCTTGACAAGCAATTTCTTGTCTTGTCTTGAAACATTTTTAAGAATTAAAAAAAATCTTGTCTTGACCATTTCTTGAGAGTTGATTTCTCGTCTTGATTCAAAAAATCTTGAAATTTCTTGATATCTTGACAAGAGGGGAACGCCCCGCCCGTTTAAAATTCGTTTATTAAAGGGGAACCCCCTGTTTAAAAGTCGCGGTGAGATTGGTTAATGTGATGTTTATGCTTTATGCGTAAAATCGAGGGTCAGGCATCTAATTTTCAAAAAATTCAAAAACTTTTGGCCCATTATACTCATCATCATCATCATGTAGCCATCGTTGTCCACTGCTGAACATATATAGGCCTCCTCCATATTTCTCCATGTCTCTCGATTTGTCATCATCCAATTTCCAGCAATCCTCTTTACATCATCGGTCCAGCGTATCGGTGGTCTGCCTCTGCTACGTTTATCTGCTCGAGTCGCCATTCTAACAATCTTCTAGTCCACCTATCTTTAGATGTTCTCGCCACATGACCTGCCCATCTCCATTTCATTCGAGTTACGTGTTCCACTATGTCTTTAATTTTGGTTTTTTGTCTGATAGTGTTATTAGGAATTTTGTCTCTTTTAGTTATTCCAAGCATGGCTCTCTCCATGGCTCTCTGGGCTACTCTTAAACTTTCTGCTGACTTTTTCGTTAATGTTAGAGTTTCCGCTCATATGTAATTACCGGCAAGACGCATTGTTCATAAACTTTCCTCTTCAAGCATATGGGTATATCACTTTTAAAGGTCTCCCGCAGTTTGCCAAAAGCAGCCCAACCCAAACCTATTCTGCGCTGTATCTCGTGTGTTTGGTTGTTTTTTCCGATTTGTATTTCGTGCCCGAGATATTTGTATATATGTGTTTCTTTTATGTCTGCGTCACCTATTCTGATGTTCTGTGTGAGCACTAAGTTTGTCATTATTTGCGTTTTACTCGTATTTATCCGGAGACCGACTTTTAATAAGGCCTGCACTAATTCTTCGAGCATCTGCTTTGAATCTCCGATGTTATGTGAGACAAGGACGATGTTATCTGCGAATAGATGTGTCAACCTTTCACCATCGATATTTATGCCCCTATTCTCCCAAGAGAGTGATTTCATTGCGTATTCAAGGACAGCTGTAAAAAGTTTAGGCGAAATAGTATCCCCTTGTCGAACTCCTCTGCCTACCTCAATTTTATCTGTTGTTTCGTGAAGTTTTACAGTTGTGGTGGCATTACTATATATGTATTCTATAAGCCTTGTCTCCTCAGTATAATGAAGCTAAGAGGAACCAAAATACAGCCATTCGTGCCATTGGTACGACTAATAGCGGAGATGGAGAACTAACTTCTGTAAAACCGTCTCAGATACTGGCTTTCGTCAAAGCCCTGAGACTGTATGATGATTATAACTGAAGAAAGGGAGGACACAATAGATCAATCTACAAGCAAGACAGACAAACTGCCAGTTCATAATTTTAAATTACTGAAAATAAAGACTGAAATTGCCTGTAATTTATATGGCCTTTTGTACCCGCCTTCACTGGGTCAGATAGTAGGCTCTGTCTGTCTCTGGAAGAGCGCTGCCTGCTCCAAAACTGTCTATACGATAAAAAATGTCGCCAATATTGCACCTTCGTGCCGCTACCTTATTTTGCATGACCGAAAAAAAGTAGTCGACGTCAAGGAATTTCAGGGATATCTTTCGCAGATACCGAGGTCTTTAATATAGAAACTGGAATAGGTAGAAATATATATATTTAAGACAGTTTTGGATATTTCATAAAGATTTTTATGGCTGTTTAAATATAGAGAATGTTGGAAATATTTTTAGCTTGTTTTTTTCTGTTAATAAATATTATCAAAACCAGGCAAAAAAGTTCACAAAATTACATTGAATTTGTAAAGGTGCTACCTTTAGAGGTGAGATTTTGTCGTTGGTGGGGAAGCTCCTGGTCAGATGCTAGGGGGATCTCCTCTGGCATTTTAGCTAGGTCTCAGGAGGATCTCACTGTCTTGTCTCTGGTTGTAGTGTCGTGGCCGGGGATTTGACCATGGGACTACCCTGTCTGTCATACCCAGGCACTGCCTACTGTCTGTGGTCATGTATCACGGTTAGAGGGTATGGGGGGACATTGGCTTAAGCGCCTGAACCAAGGAGAGGCAATAACTTCACTAAAAAACTAAAATCCTTCCATGGCAAGACCAGGTCAAAGGGCACGTGGCTATATAGAAGACTAGCCGCTACTGGTCTCAAGGTCCTTACAATAGGAATTGCCCTCAAATCTAAGAAAGCAACAGGAGCTGGAGTATTTGGGGAAAGACCAAGGGCAAGCTTATCATTTTCCTTGGGTAAACACTCAACCGTATTCCAGACAGAAATCTTCGCCATTCTACAATGTACGAGAGAAAACAATAGATGAGCTTATTTAGCTAAGCTCATCAATATATGCTCAGACAGTCACTTGGGGCGCTTATGAGCCCAAAGGTATCGTCGAGACTCATCTGGGAATGCCTGGGTAAACTGGGAGCTCTGGCACGAGGAACAGAATTAAATTATTCTGGGTGCCGGGCCACAGCGCCATCCAAGGCAGCGAAAAACCCGATGAGCTACCTAGGCAGGGCTCATCGGCACCCTATCTTGGTCTAGAGTCAGTACTGGGAATACCCAAATGTATGGCCCATAGTGCACTAAACCTCTGGATCAGGGAAAAGCACAATGTCCATTGGAGAAACAGACAGGGGCACAGGCACAGGCACAGCAAGGCTTTTATCCAAGGACCTAGCTCTAAAACCGCAAAAGAACTGCTAATGCTTAGCAGGAAAAAGTGCAGATTGAGCAACAAGCCTCTTTGACAGGACACATGGCTGTCTGCCGCGTTACCTGAATAAGCTCAACCTGTATCAAGGAAGTCTTTGCTGCAGACTCTGCGATAAAGATCCTGAAACAGCGGAGTACATAATATGTCATTGCGAGGCTCTGGATCGCAAGCGAGACTTTTTATTTGGGAAAGCTGGGCTAGAACCAGAGGAACTATGCTCCCATCCTATCAAGGACCTGCATAAGCTAGTGCAGGGCACAGGGATAGGAGAATGGGTGCAGATATAGAAGGGGGACAAACACAATAGGCCTCACAGGTCGCAGTGTTTCCGGCAGAGGACGGCCTCTTGTTATGGAAAAATAAGAAGGCAATATAGAGAAAGAGAGATATACCATGCTTTTATTTTAATTGTGAACATGAGGCTTAACCCAGCGCAATGCTATATTTTGCTAAGTATGTTCTTTTTTTGAAGCAGAAAAGTCAATGCATTGGATTTAAGTGAATACCAACCAATACTCACAAAACAAATAATATTATTTGTTTTAAAATATATTTTTGCAGAAAAGTCAATGCATTGGATTTAAGTGAATACCAACCAATACTCACAAAACAAATAATATTATTTGTTTTAAAATATATTTTTTTGTTTAGTTAAAAATAATTCTAGCTCAAAAAATTACCAAAAATCCTAAATTTCGATGAAAAAAAAATTATTTTTATTTCATGCCTATTAATTTTTCGGTAAAAAAACAGTATTGCCTGTCGGTATTTCATCAATGGCTGATAAAAGGTTGATAATGGACTGACAACAGGGGAGTGATTTACAAATTACAATGATTGACGCCTCTATGTTCACAGTTAAAATAAAAGCACTGTATATTCTCTATTATACACTCACCGGCACGAACTTTGATCATTTTTTAAGCAACTGAAAGCTATATTATTTGACTCTCTATCTCTTTCTAAATTAAAAATTAAAGTTGCCATCTGTCATTTATGAGGGAGAACAAAGTGTTGATATTTTGGTAAAAGTTTGTAACACCCTGTGGAGTACGTTAACCAAGCGCAAAGAATTTAAAAATCACTTTATCATCTATGTGCATCTTCCTCGATACTTTGTTTTTTATTTATCTCAATAGCCTTATTTTTTGGAGATATTCGCTTTTGAAAACACTAACATTTTTTTCGTATTTTTTACATTAAAACAATGCCCTTGCTTTTGATCCTAGTCAACAGACATATAAAATAGTGTTTATGGTTTATATATCTGTCTTTGAAAAATCCTATTATTATTGTCTTTAGAGCAGTTACTCTAGCTAGATATGTCATTTTGTCGTCTCACCTCTACTAGTAAACGTCAATAAACAATAATAATATGACTTTTTAATGACAGTGACATTACAAAAATAATAAACACTGTTTCATAAGTGCGTTGACGAGGACTCAAAGTCAATGCTAAAATTGCTGTAAAACGTTACTGTCTTATTCAGAAGAAAATCTCCAATAAAAATATAGCTATTGAGATGAATCAAAAAATAAACTATCGATCGAGAAAAGACGTACCTAGATGATAAAATGATTTTTAAACTTTCAAACTTTAAAAGGTATAGCCATTATTTAACACTTATAAATAATAAAACACTGGACCCACCTAATAATTTATTAACTTGGTTTAAAACAAAATAATATACAAGTTATACAATATCTTTTATAGGGGTATTAATAATAATAATATATAACATTATTCTACATTAAATAACTACTCTGTAATGTGTATGTACAGACTGATAGTTGCAAAGAAATCTAAATATTTTCTACAAGATTTTACTGAAGATTGTAAAGCATTTAATAATAATTTGTATAATTTTTTCTTCTATTTTTAAACTATATTCAATAACATTTGTTAATCTGGAATAAAGTTTATTTACAGAAATTATATAAAAGTTACATGAATATCGTTCCCTGTTATAGTATCAGATGATCGGAAAAAAACTATGTCCTGTTGGCTTGAAATGAACATCGATGACATTTCCATATACTTTTATTTCATAAAATGACAGCGAGTCATTTCAGCACGTTGACGCCGTTTTTTTTCGTTCATATTGTATCCAGTACAGAGAATGTTGGAAGGTTACCTATATACATATACATATGTGCGTATTTCTAAAATCATTTAGAAACATAATTATGTAAAAAATAGAGCATTTTCAATCAATGATATTTAGAAATATTGAAACAAAATATCTTTACTAGAAAATATAATAAATTTTATTCAAATGTTATGAATTATTTTTAAAAGAAAGTGTCAATTTTTATAGTAAAGTATTACTAATAAAGATCCCTACATATGTACAAGAAAAATATAAATTTGCATTGTAATAATAGAATGTACGGTATATCTTTTAAATATTTTCATAAAAAGATACTTTATGTTAGTAAGTAACTAAAATAAAATATTATACGGTTTTTAAAACCTTGTATATTGTTTATTCATGTTATATATCTTTGAAGAGAGATTAAGATTCTATAAGTTATACCAAAAAATCTTCAATTTTAAATTTAATTGTTGTTTAATAATATATATAAAAACTTTTACATTCTTTAAGCTTTGTTGATATAGTTAAAAAAAAGATAAACTAATGTCTTATATATACTTTTTTTCAAAAGTACTTGTACAATTAATTATCTAACTAAATATACTATACAATTTTATAATATATATTAATTTTCATTCATCCATTCACTCAAATTCACTGGTATCCGCGTTTGATTTTGAATCAAACTCTGTGAGAAGATTTTTGACCAAGATAGTGCAGTGATAAGATTAGTTTTAACAAAAATAAAGAAAAAATGTTGCTCAGTATATTTATTATACGCTAAGAACTTAATGACTAGATTTAGATTGAACCACTGCTAGACTAATAAAAATAACTAGGCAAAATCGTGAAATCTGCTGAAATGCATTTATTTGTATCAAAGCTAAATTGACTTTCTCCAAGCTGATGGTATTATTTTTCTAATGCGAGTAATTTGCTAGAAATTTTCCATGTTGTTCAGTGCAGCAGTGATCAATAATAGATTAAATATTTTAAAAGAATATAAGAAAAAAACAATATAATTGTTTCTGGAAGGTACTGTATATTTCATTTTAACATAGATATTTATTGTTTTATAAAAATTAAGATAAAATTTGTGAGTATATTTTAGTTTTAATGTTTGGCAAAATGAACCCTCCAAAATTAACAAAACAGAGTTTTATAATTTATTTTTTCAAAGATTTATATTTTTATTGTTTGTCCAAATTATACTCCCTAAGAAAAGAAATTTAAATTAAAATTGAATAAAAAAAGCTAAAATAACTATCGTTAAAAATTATTAATATTTTGGATATTTTTTGATTGATACAAGACAGTTGAATATGTCTAATTTAAGATAAGTATATTAGTAACAAAGAAGTGTACAAAAAAAAATAATATACAGGATGTCCAAAAAACTCGCAATAGGATTTGTAGTTCATGAAAAAAAAGTTTGTGAATTTGTTCAACATGAACAATATGAAAAAGTGGAGTTAAGAGACAGAATAATCGAAAAATCAAAGAGAAATGTGTTTCAGAACATGATTTTTCGTCTAGTGCCCTTGATAAATATACAGGGACTTCCAAAAATATCAATTATGTAATTATTTTTCACCAAAAAACATTTTTTTTCGCATGATTAAAGTATGACAATTCTTTAAGCTATTGGAACAAGTTTACTATCTTTATTTACATGACAGTAGAAAAATTACTGTTTTAGAAATTGTTTTATGTACTTTTATTGAAAAAAATATAATTTTTTGAAAATCTCCCGAAAAAAATTGAATATAATCATGAAACTTGGTACACAGACGTAGAATCAAATTCTGAACAACTTTTCTCATTGTTTTTTTTATATTTTAGACGATTTTGGTAATTTAGCATCATGGCAGTTGTGGCATGTCATATGCCAATATTTTTTTTCCTTATTTGGGTTACTGAAAGAATATTTGTTTTTAAAGATCAATAATAAATAAATACCATTTGTTGAAACTGGATATCAAAGAGAATTAGTACTATTTGGACAAACAACAAATAAAAAACTTTATTTAAACCATTTATTGGACCAAATTTAGCTGTATATTAAGGTAATTTTCATAATAAGTCATTTAAGGTACAAAGGAAAGGTTCCAGCACAACAATTTAAGGCAAATGGTAACTAAATTATATCACTATTCCCTTTTTTTCAGGTAACTCATCTAAATTCTCTTCGGAATAGTCGCCTATCTTATCTTATGTATCCATTTTGCAAACCTCATTGTCTTTGGCTAGCAGTAGAATCCTAACTACTATAGTACCAAAGCACTGGACAGACAGAAATAACAAACTATACAAAACAAGGAAGAATAAACAACACAATTCGCTATTTCATTCGATTTAGGACATAATCTGCGGCTACTACCAACCCTTTTTTGGTAGGGACTTTCCTTGAACAGGTTGGCTATCCTGATGGCCTCGGAACAGTGTTGCTTGGCCAGAAATTGGGTTTGTTCCAGGCCTTGGCTTTTTGTGCACTAGTTCGAAGGCTTTCTCCACGTCACCGGGTTCTTGGAACCGACGCATGATCATTGGATTGAGTTCGGGGTACTGCAAAAAGTTCAAGTTTATATAGAATGTCCTTTAATAAATAAGTCCTTAAAGTTATATATCCTTAACCTATAACATTCAGATATGTATAGAGAAATCAATCCATTTTGTGGACTGTACAGGATCGTCGAAATTGGTCTGTTTTAATAGAGAAAACCTATTTCCTGAGGAGATAGAGCAAAACCGACATAGAAGTCATGGGCTCGATTTCTGAGACACGTTTAATGGCGTAAACCGCCTGTGGATATTTTCACGGCCAATCGAGATACAGGGGTCTTTTTGAATTTTTTTACCATTTGGATTGTCCATAACTTTTGTATTTTGCGGAATAATAAAATTCTGTAAAAATGTTCTTAAGGCACTTTTTTAACCACAATCCAAAATCTTCACCATACACGTTGAAAAATATTTCAAAATTTGGACTGCGCAGTCAAAAAACTGAACGTGTGTGAGTAACTTTAATGAAAGGGTTTGAATAGAACAATTAATTCAGATCATTAGATTGAAATAATCAAGACAAATTACCTTTTCGCATGCAAAAAGTACTGGTGCTGTGGCTAGACCCAATTTAAGATCTGCAGCAGTGGGTTTGCCCATAGCTGCTGATGAGGAAACAAAGTCCAACAAGTCGTCAACCAATTGGAAAGCTAGGCCCATGTTGCGGCCATATTGGTAGGCCAAGTCAGATAATTGTTCATCGGCTCCAGCTAATATCGACACCTGCAAACAGAAAATAAAACATTCGTAATTGTAGTTAAGAGTAAAGTAAACTATGTATTAAATTAAGGAAAACTAAATATGGAACTATCAAAGAAAATCTTTAATCCCTCCCGAAGAACTAAATCAAGGGAAATCTTTGATTGGGACAGTTGGTTTGGTTTGGTAGGCACATATCTGCTATTCCCGAAAGGCCATCTCATAACTATCCACTTAGGAATGCGGAGCACGATCTTTATCTGCCAACCCCGAGCTCAGAACTAGTTAAAGGTTCAGTACTGTACAATGCCAAAAAAATGTACAATCATCTGCCTTTGAATATCAAGTCGCTTTCGTTCTTTCCCGCATTTCGCAAAGCTCTGAAATCATACTTACTGGAGAGAGCCCTATATGCGGTAAACGACTTTTTTGTTGATGTTTAATTATGAACAATTTTGAATTTTAAAATTTTGATCACCTCTCACACACTGGTCAAAGGTCAAGTATTTAATATTTTATAACTCTAATTTTAATGAATTTTTGTTGTTTATATATTTTTTGTGTTTTTGTTTGTTTTGTGAGTGCTTTGTCGATGAACCTGTTTTGGCTTTTTGCACAATAAAGCGGTGTTTGTTGTTGTTGGTGGTATCCAACTTACCGATTTGACTGAATTGGCTATTAAACTGGCAGTTTTCCTGTAAGTCTTCGTTAAATAATGAGCAAATCTTTTCGTTTTCCGTTTCCTTCGAACCGAGCTGCATGAATTCGCCTTGCACGAGGTCACTGACTACCTAGAAAGAAGAAAAACACCATCAAAAACACAGTCGATTATGCTAGCTATTTCCCAACTCGACATATAAGTAAACACGCTGGCATTTCAGGTGCGATTTGCCGATAAAATTCTGAAATATTCCAAGTATGCGAGTTTGCAATTCATTGGAATCTAATATAACATTTTATGGCAATTATTTAATGTTTCTTTGGCTCTTGGTTGAGATTTGTATCTCTGGCATAGAAAGATTGATTTTTTTTCTGAAATATACAGGGTGTTGGACCTATTTTAAGAAAAAAACTTTCTATGAATGTACATACAGGGTGGCCCATCGAAAACGTTCCGCAAGGCATAGCGACCAGGGTATTCTTTTTTTCAAAAAATCCAAAAACATGTCAACTTTGTTTGTGAGGGGGACAACTTTTGCTCCAAAAGTGATTGCAAAATCTTCAACCCTCTAAGCGGGAGTGTCATCCCCCAACTTTTTTCAAATGGGAAAGGGGATCAAGTGGCGCCGCAATGAATAGAGCTTTCTATTCTCTATATTTCCCCGCCTCGTTTTTGAAAATCGGTCGAGTCGTTGAAAAAATATGAAGGATTGAAATTTGAAAAGTTTATTTAAACATTTTTCAGAGTAAATGATAAAGATAAATTCCTTCGACCAATTTTAGGTTTTTTCTTATTATTTCTAGATGTTTACACATTTTTTCACTTGCCACAAGGTTGAACGATCAGGTGCGGTAGTTGCTAGATAGCTGTTTTGTGACTTAAGCTGGATTTATAAACTCGGGAGTTGAGGTTCAGTTGAGGTTCAGTTGCCGTTCAAGATGTTCAACGCTATGAAATGAACGCGCGCACTTATAAAGTCAGTTGGTCGAAAAGTTGGCAGTTCGTTTTACGTTCAGCGGAGTTCAAAGATGGCCAATGTTTAAAGCCCCGTTCCCAGAACAACGTCGTGTCGCGGGCGACACAGTTTGACATTTCAAACAACCAATGGGAGCTGTACTAAATTTAAAATTGACAGCTGTTTGAATTTTGTACAAATCTGATTGGTTTTTTTAGAATGTGTCGCTGGCGACAGTCGCAGTTCGAGAACGGGGCTTGCGTCGGCAGTGACCGCTGGCGACGTTCGGCGACAGCCAATAAGCGCCTGTCGATCACGTGAAGCACAGTATGCCGATGCATGGGAAAATGACCCTCTTATTGTTGTTTCATTATTTCTGTTAATGTGATGTTTATATTTTTGCGTAATCGTGGATTACTGTGTTTGAACTTTGACAAATACCAGAAGTATTTTTAAATCGGAAGAAAACGTTCGAAATTTTCACAATTCCAAACCTAACCTACAACCGAAACTGACAGTTTATAAATGCAAAAATATTGAACCTCAACTGCCGCGAACATCCAACTGCAACTGAACCTCAACTGAACGCCAACTTCCGAGTTTATAAATCCAGCTTTATGCGTTGAAGTTCTTCTCAATATCGTTAAACTGAGCCACAATAGAATTTCCAAAAATTACAGCCCACACGTCCAATTTCTGAGGGTTTTGTGTGTGACCACTTGACCCCCTTCTCATTTGAAAAAAATTGGGGGAAGACACCCCCGCTTAGAGGGTTGAAGATTTTGAAATCATTTTTGGGGCAAAAGTTGTCCCCTTCACAAACAAAGTTGACGTGTTTCTGGATTTTTTGAAAAAAAGAACACCCTGGCCGTTATGCCTTGCGGAACGTTTTCGATGGGCCACCCTGTATGTCCTAAATATGTAATCTAAAAAAGAATGTAACAGTGTTTAGTATAAACAAATAAAATAAAATAAGCTTTGCAATAAATTCATTAATAGAGTAATTTAAGTGCAATTAATAGCTAATTATTGCTGTATTTATTAGGTTTTAAATCTAGTTTAGTTAATAGCCCTATTAAATCCAGGTATATATTTCTTGTATTTTTAATATTTTTTTTAAAAAAGGCTGAAAAAATATATTTTTTATTTATTTATTAGATTTTTAAATTCATAAAAAATGTTGTTGCCACATTTATTTATTTATTTCCTGACACTGTCATTCGTTTTGACACTTTAGTTCTGTATTACGAGTTTTTGGTTTGAATGAATTGAATTGTGATATTTTAAGCTTAAACATTTTTACTAGCAGACCTTGCAGTCGAACATTGTTCTTTTTAGAACCTCTTTTAGTGGGAAGTGTACAAGAAAGCTTAATAGCCGTAAAAAACTCATCGCAACTTTATTAGAATATTTTTAACGGGAAAGCTGTAGTAATGGTCCTTTATGTCCGTTAAGTGCTCTAATAAGAAGGTGAGTTTTGATGATGTAAATAGTAACTGTTTATATATTTATAATTAATTTATTTTTGTTTCCTAAAATATTTTGATTAAAAGAAAATACGTAAAACTGGGCAACGCTGTGCTTAATCACGTGACTAAAAGTTTATTTGGTATGAACTATATTAAAAAATCTTTCCCTGCCAAGGCATTAAGGATTGAAACGCACTCATATGGTAAGATAAAAAAACTTCTTTGAAGATTTTTGGAAAATACAACAATATTAAAAAAACGATGGTGTATATGAATTATTAAATAAAGAATTATAAAAAATATCATTACCTGACTAAGAACTAAAGTAACATCGTTGTTTTTTAACCTAGCTATCATCATGGAAGCGACGGCCAAGATAAAGTCTCCCGCCATGGTTACCTGTAAAAATAAAAAAAAAATAATATTTATATATTATTTACAACTTTCATTTTGGGTTAATCAAAATTGGTAGGTAGCTTTTCATTTATATGAAAACGGTTTATTTTAAATTAAAACACAAAAAACAGGGTCCTTATGAAAGGAATGGTGTTCCAAATTTTGAATTGAGTAAACAACGTCACGTGGGGTGTCCTATGAAAAGGCTTCAAGCTTATGGTTATTTTTTATACAACAGGTCGACGATAAAATGGTATTTTATCGAAAAGATTAATTCACGAACGATGAAATCGCGAGTGAATTAATTTCGGGAGACGATAATGCAATTTTATCGTCGTGTATAAAACAATATTTTTTCAATATTTTTTAAAAAATATTCAGAAATCATTATCTCAAGGAATTTATTACGAATAGAAAAACTATTGTGGTGGGTTGGCGTTGGTTTCTATGTAATTTGAGAAATAAATAAAGCTGTCTCTTTAGTTGTCAGTTTTGAGTCAATAATTTTTAATTCTCTTTCGTGTCGATTGCTGAATTGGAGCTAGAAATGGCTCAAAACGAAATAAGTAAATTACTAACAGATATTCAGGCTGAGGCGACAAACGCCATATCCAAACTACCTCCATTTAAATCCCGAATAACTTATGAAAAGGAATTCAAACATTTTCAAAAATGGAAGCAATTAAAAAACGTGCGAGAAGAAATAAAGTTTTTAACCTATCCTCGCTGTTAAAATATCATTTAATCTACCCTTGCGGTTAAAGTACTATTTTATCTACTATTTTTGATAGATATATTGCTATGGAAAAAACATATTTTTAACGATTTTAATTATTATAGGTTTTGGAAACTGAATTTTAATAATTAGTAATATTGAACCCCTAAAGAATTGAACCACGCGCCGCGACTGCATTTGACACAATTAACTTGGCTCGAACGACTTTAACACCTCCTTATTACACCGAATGGCAAATATTGCAAAACAAGAAAGTCCACATTGACGAGGCGCGACACCTCTGGTGCGAGTATGTCAAGCAAACAGTGATTTGTCGCAGTTACAATGAATTCTGTTTGAATAGAAACCATTTCCCACTGTTTTCAGGAGCAATTACTGTTCGTAGGTATTTGTTGAAGGCAGCCAATGACAGGAAATTGCTGTTGGAAAACATGTTGTAAAAAACAACGTAATTGTAATAAAAATAATATTAAGTCTTAATGAACACAAAGAGGTGACACAATGAAGTTATTATGTGTTGCAGGCTATCTGTGGTCCAAGCAGCACAAGAAAGGAAATATGTGAAATACAGGACGAAGAAGAAGACTAATTGAGATCTAGGAAACTAGAAGAAAAATCAGTCTGTCCGTCTGAGGACTCCATTCGGGTACCTCTATCCACGTGCCGAGTTTTGTTACAATCAACCCATAATTAAAAAAAATCCTGATGATTTCGTCTATTTAGAGGCATCGGTTCGAAACGTCCAGGGCGTCATCCTGCAGCCCGTCCCCAATTATACCAAAATCGACCCACATTTTTCTTCAGTATCAAATCCTTAGTCCCACCCTGATGAAGATGTAAACGAAACGCCGCATCCAACTTTGCAGGGTGGGACTGTGTGCACCGTCGCTTACATAGCCTACTCACCAAATTTGGTCGCGATCGGACTATATAAACTTTTGACGTTTCTTACGTCAAAACTAACTGTCACAGTGACGCGTGTCGTACGCGGTCAAGTTGACCTTGGTCGAATCTATCGAGATACCAAATTTCATTTAAATCGGACGATTTTTTCTAAACCGTAGGCTGTTCTTAGCACTTTTTATCTCGCGTGTCGAGTCGCGGCCTTGAATTTTTATTCCCAGCGCGCGTTAAGAAGTTTCACTTCAAAAATACAAGGCAAAATGCCCAATTTGATGCTGGCCAATATGTCACATTAATGTTTTTTTATTTTTTAGTTCCTTTCACAATTCCCGGGAGAATCTGTCATAATACTTTTAAATTTTAATTTATTTTAAAGTTATTATCTAGAACATGACATTAGTCTATGGTTATTATAAATATTTTTTTTATAGCAACCTTTGAATAAGAAGACTAAGGAAGGAGCATATCAAAAATCTTAGGTACACCGCGATGGGCCTCAAATATGGCCGACTTAAATTCCGGTTTATCAGTGTCGTTCTAGTTTTATTTAAAAAATGTAAAACTATGATGTAGGGTAGACGTGGGGTAGACTCAATAATTTGTTGTTTTATTTTACGTTGCGAATAAATGTTGGTAGTTATTAAAATTGTTATAAAAATATATAATTCTAATAAAAATAGATAAGTTATAATAAGTATTTATTAACACAAACATCCGATACGCTACTGAAGCAGGTAAAGTCAAATTAACGTATCTAAATTCTTTGACATCTAATCTTTGACAAGTAATAAATAAAAGCTAAAATGCAAGAAAAATATATAATTTAGTTAATTTAAGTGAATTTCATAAATAATCGGTTTACTTCACGTATGTATATTATATAGTCACTTACTAGCAAAAAGTTGTTCCATTATTTCACTCAATTTTTGCCGAGATCTACCGCACGCTACACAACCAACTATCTTAGAGTCTTTTTCGATAAATCGCGATAGTGTCACTGTTAATTTAAGTTCTGCCACAATTTCCATCTAGATTTACTACCTTTATACAACTATCAATAGTAGAATAAATAATAAATAACATAAAATAAGCTCCGTAAAGACTGACAAATCCACAAAATTTCAAATCGAATTCAAATGTGTCAAATGAATTGTCAAACAGAACTGTCAAGGATCCCCACCCTAGAGTGCTTTTTCCGCCCACTAAGCATGAATACATGGATAGCATTATGCTCCTTCCTTAGTCTTCTTATTCAAAGATAGCAACTGTTAAAATTGCCTTATATCTATCAAAAATAATACATAAAGTAGTACCACAGATTATACAGATTATAATCTTTGTTTTTTCTTTATCGTTTTTCGTGGTTCCAATTTTTCGGTATCGGGCACTAGTTAGGTGACTAGTTTGCGCATACTATAGCACGCCCACTTATGGCCTCTAAAAATTGTGCACAGCGCCTGACCGGCACAGTTATTAGAGAGATATCGGAAAACCGAATAGCATCATCCGAGTATTTACGCGTACCTTATCATGGTTTACGACCATGCGCGAGTCAATTTTTAACGCAACACCCGCTAATAACGTTACCGCCTGACGTAATTTGCAGATCAATTACACCAAGCGCTCTTTCTAAATAACCTCTGATAACGTTTAAAAAATTGCTTAAATGGGCATGTGCGGGTATTTGACAACCGGAGCCGGCCGGCGAGATCTTTTATTTTTAGGTTATGTTTGAATTGTTTTGAATTATTTAGCTTTAGTAGTTTTATTAGGTAATTTGATATTTAAGTAGCTGGGATTAGTTTTAATTAAATAAATATGGCCCAAAATATATGGATTCCACCTCTTCCAATACTAAAAGAACCTATAAAGAGTCTTAGGTTTACAGCAGATGACGACTTAGCCCTTCTAAGAGAAATTTGTTGCTTGTTGCCCTAAAGCTGGATTTATAAACTCAGGAAGATTTGAAAAGTTCAGTTGAGGTTCAGTTGCAGTTGGATGTTCGTAGCAGTTGAGGTTCAATATTTTTGCATTTATAAACTGTCAGTTTCGGTTGTAGGTTAGGTTTGGAATTGTGAAAATTTTGAACGTTTTCTTTCGATTTAAAAATACTTTTTGGTATTTGTCAAAGTTCAAACACACAGTAATCCACGATTACGCAAAATATAAACATTACATTAACAGAAATAATGAAACAACAATAAGGGTCATTTTCAATGCATCGGCGTACTGTGCTTCACGTGATCGACAGGCGCTTATTCATTGGCTGTCCGCCGAACCCGTCGCCAGCGGTCGCCAACTGCCCGCAACTGCCGACATAAACGGTGACCATCTTTGAACTCCGCTGAACGTAAAACGAACTGCCAACTTCTCGACCAACTGACTTTATAAATGCGCGCGTTCATTTCATAGTGTTGAACATTTTGAATGGCAACTGAACCTCAACTCCCGAGTTTATAAATCCAGCTTAAACCCACTGGCAGACGTTGAACAATAAAGCACTGGAAATAAGCACTTTAGCCCTTTAGTTTTAAAACACCTAGTAAACAAAACAATTTCAAAGTTTTTAAATTCAAAGTTAGGTTAAGTTTAAATAGCGGACGCGACGCGAACAGAGAATTCTTTCCGATCCGATAACTATAAATGAAGAGAGTTAATACCACCTCACTTAAAGGAAATAACACCTGGCCTTATTAACGTCCATGCACGCTATTCGGTTTAGCGATATCTCTCTTACGCTGTTTATTGTTATTTTACGCGAGTTTATTTTTGCGCACAAGAAATTTGACTCGTTTGCACATCGTCATAAAAAAAAAACAATTTTTCGTACCACGAATTAGGGGGCAAGATTTTTATCTGTATACTTATACGATACCTAATCTGTGGTAGTACTTTAACCGCAAGTGCAGATTAAATGATACTTTAACAGCTACGATAGGTTAAAAACTTTATTTCTTCTCGCACTTTTTTAATTGCTTCCATTTTTGAAAATGTTGGTATTCCTTTTCATAAGTTATTCGGGATTTAAATAGAAGTAGTTTGGATATGGCGTTTGTCGCCTCAGCCTGAATATCTGTTCGTAATTTACTTATTTCGTTTTGAGCCATTTCTGGCTCCAATTCAATCAGCAATCGACACGAGAGAGAATTGAAAAATATTGACTCAAAACTAACAACTAAACAGACAGCTTTATTTATTTGTCAAATTACATAGAAACCAACGCCAACCCAGCACAATATTTTTTCTCGTAGTAATAAATTCTTTGAAATAATAATATCTGAATATTTTTTTAAAACGTAACTTGCTGTGGAGAAAATATTATTTTATACACCACGATAAAATTGCATTATCGTCTCCCGAAATTAATTCACTAATAAAATACCATTTATCGTCTTGTATAAAAAATAACTATAAACTATTTGTCATTATTATGCATCAATTAAATTCCCAGATTATAAATTAACTTTAATAAAACCTAACAACACTAATAACTAGCTAAAAGATTAAGCTGTCATTAACCGATTCGCAAAAGGTTAGCGGATACTCTTTAAACCTGCGACGCTTGAGATCCTAATGCCATTAAAAGCACACGCTGTAATTCTATTAATAATACGACTTATAACTGGCTGTTTGAGTTGTTAGGAAATCATCGGCATATAAGTGTGTCTAGGGCAGTAATATCTCGTTGCATGTGCAGATACGTTACGTAAGAAGATGTTTGGCCGGCTTTTTTATCGCAACTTTGAGACGACAACGCACGCACAAGTAGTAATACTTCAACTTTTGGTTTTAAAAAACAAACTGGCTAAATTCCCGCCGGCGGTATGGACAATTGACGAAAGAAATACCGCTTGTAAGGACATTTAGGGATTACTTAATAAAACATAAAAATAAATAAAATAATTTTCAAAAAAAATCCTATAACCAGGTTTCCATAAACATATAACCGATGATTGAAGACATAAGAAGATGCGCAACCTTATGGACGATTTCGTTGTACAAAACCTGGCCGAGATGTAGCTGGCGTTACCGTCAGCCTGTTCGAGAATTCCGAGATTTAGTTTAGCTTTGCACCGCTGCGCACTGATAAAGAATACTGTAACCATAGTTCTGCTTTCGGTCAACAGAGTCAGATGTTGCCGGAGACAGTGTTGTCAGAACTACTGATTAATCCGTAGATTAACGGATTTTGGGTACAGATACATTAATAATACGGATTTTCTATCATAAAACGATTTAATATTTAATATATGAGTAAACGAAAAACGGCGTCAGAGTTGGCTTGGAAATAAAGATCGCTGTTATTTAATAATTTAAAATATTATGGTAAATGTCAATATCATTATCATTTCCAAACCAACTAAACGACTTTTTCAATCATACGACATATTCAATTACTATAAAAGTTTTATTTTTATTGTTTTATTCTATGTTTAAAACGAATCAATTTTTAATACATAAACGCGCATTTTTCATCCAAAGATATTTTCAAACGTACCTATTACAGATATTACACATTTTAATGGCAACACTGTGGCTTTCATATCCACACCGTCTTCAATATGTCTTCGCTGGCCGATGAAATTAGTGTTTATGCGTTGGCCGCAGAACGATTGGTGTCTCCACCGTACAGCACTTGAGATGTAAGGGGAAATCAGCCTTGTCACGATTTCGCCCATTAGGTTGCGTATCTTCCCTTTAATTCTTTCAATCAATGATATCGTGAATCAACCTGTATAATAATGTCTTGTAATATGGATTATTACACCAAGAAGCGTTATAAGGTTTGTTTACGTATTTCTATCTTAATAATAATGCAGAACTAATGATAAATTAAAACATATTAAGCATGTATTTAAAGTTTTCTTTAAAATCTTCCTCAGTCACGAAAAGCATTTTTTCTCGAGGCAACGTTTAGCATAAATTCTTCCTTTTCTGCACGAAGTTCTAAAGGTTATGTTAGGAAATCTTCGAACTAATCATATAGTGGATAAATACTGTTTATACTATTATTAATTCATTTACATACACATTCGTACAATGATTCGATAAAAATACTGAATGAAACATAAAAAACCCATTTGATCGAAAAAAAAACGGCGTCAAAGACTGCTGGGAATGACAATCGGTGATAGTTTTGGCGGGGTCAAGCCCAGTCGTCTTTGGCGATGTTTTTTTTCGATTATAGGATATTATAAAATGTGTATTGCTTACAGAGACAATGCCCAACAGGCTTAGATGTAAAACAATACACATATTACTTGCAAGTAAAAAATATATTTGATTAAATTCTAAATTGCAAGCAATTACGAGTACTTCTCTCTAAAGAACAAACAGCAATATTGAAAAAGTAATGAAGTATTAAATGAAAAAGAAGCAATCCACCTCTATGAGTTATAAAGTTACTTTACCAATCCATCTTCTTAAAGTAAATAACTCATAATATGATATTGTAGGTGCATTACTTCAAGCTAATTGACATTTAAACGATTTTAGGTCAAGGTCACCACTTTAAGTATTTTTTAATGTGTTATAAATTATCTACCTCCTTTAATATTGGCATAGTATTGTATTTTATTACTTGGTCAAACATTAATATTTGATTTATGTAGGTAGAAAGATTATTATAGAAAATATAAGTTATGTCCAACCAGGTATTCATAAAAACGAAGGTAATGTAAAATTTCACACCAAAACTAATAAAAAAATACTGTTAGATGATATGCAAAAAAGAGCAAAATTGTATAGATATTAAGGTGGCCATCGGCTTGTTCCACCGCAATCTTTTCAGATGTATTGTGGTCCTATTCTGATCCTTATAGTACGAGAGCTAGGAACGTCGAAAAAACAAGTATTTTAAGACGTCTGGCTCTTTGATATATCTGATATACTATGCTCTCTAGAACAGCATGCGGCCCGTCTGGTTGCCGGTAAACGTTGCGTTCCCTACTGCGCATTGAAAAAAGATCCTATATTTTTATTAGTCCTTTAAATTCTAGTATTGTATATAAACCGACCGAGTCCCCATAGCTCAGCGCGTAGAGGTTTGGTTTGGTTTGGTTGGAGTTCGAATGCGGGTCAGTGCAAAAACTTTTTTATTTTATTTTTGTTTATATTCTGATAGTAAAGTATTAAATATTTGTTTTTTTTTTGAATCACCAGAATTATTTAATACTTTACTATTGTAACGTTTTTAGTTCGTTACATGTCTTTTTTATATATAATATATGATGTCTGGCCTATCATCACCGGATTCCGTATCGTTCAGGCCTGATAATTTATTTGGCACGCTTGGCATAATTTTTACGTTCTCTAGTCGCCAACCCTGCTATCGTTTCGCTGTTCTGTGGAGGCGCGCTGTCAAGATCCTTGTTACATGTCAAGGCGGCTCTCCGCGCTTAACCTCACTTTTGTTCGCCCGGCTTTTAGAAATGGTAATAATTGAAATCTTGCTGCAAAATCTAATAAATCAGCTGCCATTTGAAGCTACAGGTAAAGATGTGTTATTATCTTTTATAGATTCGGTATTATTATTGAATATTTTAGGGTAGAGTTTTTGGATTGACCCACCTTAACTCGTATTTGTATTTTGCTGACAAGATGGTGTACTTTTGCTGTTGTCCTCCAGAATGTTAAATGAAAGAAAAGGACAGTTCTTTTATTTATTATTGAGCCGTCGGAAGTGTTTCGGGGTAGGTTTATTTTGTTTATTAGACCTTGTTTGGTTTTAAACAAGAGTTTCGTATTTTTAAGGTCTTATGGACGTACATTGTCTTATGGACGGACTGTGTCAAGGTTATGGGCAGGTGTCCCATATCTATGTATTGATTTCAAGGTTCGGGCATTATCCAAGGTCCTAGTAGTGTTCAAAGGTACGGGTAGTGTCCCCATATTGCCACAGTATGGATACAGCGTAAGCCCCATGCTGCTTCGCTGCCATTTTTAAGCCTAATCAGTAGCTACGGCTGTATTGATTCATGGTGTCCTCATTCTGGCCCCTTTTGTTGTTTTGACCAACAGGATCGCCGACAGACAATACAGAGATATGAACCCACCTCACGCTGCTCTTCGAAACAGGATTGCCTCAAGGACAGCTAAGTGTAGATTTAGGTTCAGATTTTCAGTCAATTTTCAGTCTTAACTTAATAACGTACATTTTAAATAATATCGTACAGACTATATTTAGTGGTTAGATTATTAAGAACATTTATGTCGATTTAGTAGTTACAATATGATTTAGATCTTAGGTTTCATTACATTACGGCTTGTAATGGTATTTAACCACTATAATAATTATTAAAATTGTACAATGCTATTTACCATCAGAATTCATCATGAATAAATATAGCCATTAGTTTTAAGTAATATACAACTGTGTTTTCTTTCTGTGTACATGCCTGGCGCCTAATATCTATATTTTTTTGTTTATTGTTATTGATTAATTTTCTCTCTAGTGAAATACCTTATCCACGACTGCTCTCCGATGAAAAGCTGCCGTTCGCAGTGGTAGTTGTTTAAAAAACGCTACACTATCAGAATATAAATGAAAATAAAATAAAAAAGTCGTTGCCCTGACCCGGATTCGAACTCTGAATCCTCGGTTCGTAGTCGGAAACTCTACGCACTGCGCTATGGAGACATGTTCGATTTATATTCAATACTAGAATTTACAAGACTAAATTAAAAAAAAATATAGGATCTTCTTCCGATGCGCAGTAGTGAACGCAACGGGTATCGGTAGCCAGACGGGCCGCATGCTGTTCCAGAGAGCATAGAAAAAGATATATCAAAGAGCCAGACGTCTTAAAATACTTTCTCGAAAACTCTTAGGCTATTAGGTTACATTGTCCAGTTCTATCCTTTTCTTAAATCTATAAGTTCTTGTATGCTACGATATTTTAAATTCATTTACCTTTTTATGGTTCCACATTACGTTGACGCTAGGTTTCCCCCTTCTGAAATCCGATTGGTCGATGACGTCATCGTGTACCAATGAGGCTGTGTGAATCATTTCCGAAATCATAGCTACTTCGCGTTGTGAGGAAAGGAGACCACTGAAACAAAAAAATATAATTAAAAAAATATTTGCCTCAAAGTTCTAATAATCTGCTATAAAGTCCACATCAAGTTGTTTTTTTTTCATAATATACAGGGTGGTCCGACCTGTATTCCGGAAACTCAGCAGCGTATTCTACAGATAAAAATAACTAAAAAAGTTTGTATAACTGTATGTCCTAAAATGCTTAGTTTCGGAGATACAGGGTGTAGAAGTTTCGTTTTTATTTCGATTTTTTCCAAATAATTTCTGAAGTAACGTCAATATTTGGGATGAAAGTTGGTGTGTGGGAGTTTTTTGACATGAGAAATTTGATTTTGAGTAATAAATTTTGTACTTAACAACACCACCATTGACGTCGTAAAATCTGTAAAATTCTTCGGGCTTGTTGTAGACAATTCTCTGAAATGGGACACTTCGTCGAAAAAAATAAGCTCTGCCTGTTTTGCATTAAGATCTGTTTCTAAGGAGCTTAACTTGTCAGTGGCTAGAACTGTTGATTATGCACTTTTTGAGTCGCACCTTAGATCTGCCCTTCCATTCTGGGGTACATGTTGTGCCACTCAATTTGACCGCATCTTTAAGCTCCAGAAGAGAGCTGTTGGATATTCACTGGGACTAAACAGCAGAACTCATTTCCAGGACTTTTATAAAAAATTAAAAATATCAACTCTTCCTTCTTAAGCAGTCATTAAAATTCTTTTTGAACGTTGATTTTTGGAATCTAAATAATTGAACACAAGAATACATGGCAGCTCTGATGTAGGTTACTTATTTCTTTTATTTATTTAAAATATGTTTTTTCAAATTCATAGTTTTGTTAGATATATGCCTACTAATTCAATCGACCTTGCTGCCAAAATATTCACGAAAAATCCAATGTTATTTTTATGTTATTAGCGTTCCGGTAATAAAATATCTTGACATCTGAGAAGAAGTCAGCGAAAAAGATAGTTTTGACCTTTAAACCGATATGTTTTAACCAAATATATTCGATGTTTCGGCAAATGATTGTTCCACGGTGACGTTCTGTTGTTTGGGTTTTACTTTAACGAGAAAAAATACTTTTTACTTTTTAAAGATAAATATATATTCACTCTAAGCAAAGAGTTGGGTATTGTTAAATCAAAAAAAAAATAGGCGATATGTATATATAGATAGTATTCATAATTTTATTTTTGTTTTGACTATGTTACACTTCTAATTATCTAATAAAACATAAAATGTAGTAAAAAAGTGTATATTTATTATTTTATTTTTACAAGAGATAATTTTGCACTTGAATAACGTTACCGCTTTAGTTAGTGTTAATAAGTAACGGAACGCTAAAATTGTGTCATGCCAAAACTCTCCATTAGTTTCTTCCGAAGCACCAGGTGGCGCTAAATGGCGGATTTATTTGTTTTTTTTTCAGTATCCCATCCAGGTGGATGACACTTCTATGGGAGAACTGGCAATGGTTCAAAACTTGACTACAAGCGATTTACTAGGAATCTTCCTTACCGATAAATTATTGACAAGAGTGACAGACCTTGACGTTCTTTCAGTATTACAGGTCATCTCTTTTTCTTTCTAAAGTGTGTGTTGAAAGGAGACAAAAACAATTTTTTGTGACCCATAATTTGTTATGCGAACACCACTTTTCTCCTTGTCGGGTCGTTGACGTGTACTTGTCGCCATTTTATTTCTTTTGTTTACTTGCTGCAGTTTGCTTCGCAAATTTAATACATAAATTATTTAGGCAACTAGGTTTTGATAAATCTCCTTGGACTAACGTGTAGGTAAAAGTGTTGATAAATAAATTTTTTTTCATCTTAACATGCTCTTTGTCATTCTCCTGATTTAGGTGATTATGAAAAGGATCATCAAAATTGAATTTTATATTTTTCATCCCAGATCGCAAAATATATATTTTATGGATACCTTCCTAAATATCAACGAGATGAGCCATCGGAAGAAAGGGACCATAGTACAAAATAGAAAGATGATTTTTTTCTTTCCACTTAGGATATTGAAATTATTATATACTGTAGTCGTATTCGGCATTATGCTCTGAGAAATATAGATAAACACAGAATAACAGATATAAAGCATCCCAGAGGAAAACAGAGGCAATACCTGTACTCTCTCTCTCTGATATTTGTGAAAGTTACGGCAAAGCATTGTTGTAAATGTCATCTTTTTGATCGACCTGGAAACTTCGAGCAAAAATATGACACTTTCAACAATAACCTGACAGATATCAGAGGCGATACAGGTTTTTCCTCCCTTTTCCTCTGGAATACTTTTAATTTATTATTCTTTGTTTATCTAGATTTCTCAGAGCACTATGGACGAACTCAGCTTGTATGTTTGAAATAATCATCCAGTTGGCTTAAAAATGATGATCGATGACATTTCCATATAATTTTATTTTCAAATTATCATATATATCTTCATTTCTAAGCCATCTATGACGCCATTTTTTTCAGTTTTGTTATAATTAATTTTGTCTCTTGATCTACTTGTAACATTATTCTTTCAATTTTATTAATTTATTGTGTTTATACACGACGATAAAAAAAAAATACATTATATTTTTTTTTTTTTTTTTTTTTTTTTTTTTATTTTAAAAGCCGTTATTTTTAACAAATTACACCATGAGTACATTTTATTTATGCTCAAAGAATGGTATGACAATAAAAATGTAATTTCAGTCTCAAGGACCTGGCATTTCATTCATAATAAAACACGACAGGTGTCAATAAATGCATATCTAGCTAAAATGAAGCGGTAGAATACAACAATTATTAAATCATGTTTAATTCATACTTTTCAGATATAATAGCTTTGTAGTCAGCATGTAATAACAATACCAGCGTGAATAAATTTGTCTATAAAAAACTTACTTTAATATTGTAGTAGTAGATTATTAATTGTGTACGTAAATGTGGCGTTAAAATATTTTGCTTATTGTTATTATTAATTAATTAAACAATTAATTATTATTTTATAATTTCACACTCAATATAAATTAAATCATCATTCATATCATCATCATCCCTCACATAGCTAGATAATCTCCCTGAAATTTCTCCCATTGCTGACTATTGTTAACTATTGCTAGCTATCCTCGCTAATTTCCTAATACCAACGTCCCATCTCGGGTTTGGTCTTCCTCTAAGTCTCTTAATTCCTCTTGAATGTCATGCTGTAATTTTTTAGTTCTGATGTCCGTCCTTCTTGCCAGGTGTCCGGCCTTTTATCACTTGAGATTTTTGATTCTGTCAATGACATCTATTACCTGGGTCTTTTGTCGTATCCACTTATTCTTTTACGGTCTGTCTTGGTTATTCCCAGCATATTTCGTTCCATTGGAGTTGTACCACCTGCAGTTTCCTTTATGATATCCGCTTTAAGTGACCAGGTTTCACATGCATAGTCATAACTGGTAGTACACATGGATCAAATGCTTTCTTCTTTAGATATATTATTAAAAGATACTGTATTTGAAATGGCTAAATTCGAAATCTGAACTAGACAAGCGCACTTATAATGACAAGGAAAATGAGGTGAGGAGAATGGTGAAAGAAGAAAAGAATAAAGTGTGGGATGACAAATGCAAAAGAAATTAATACGTATATAGGCGGAAGAAGGAATATGGAAGTATGGAGATTTATAAAACAACAACAACTGAAAAACAGGAGTCAGTCCCTATAGAAATAATAACCAACAAAGAATAGGTGAAATATTATTCCAAATTGTTGTCACAGAACAGACCTGAGTATCAAGAACCGCCACAGCCAAAAATAAACATTGAAGGAGAGGAAATCTACGTGGATACCAACAAAATAAAGACCGCTATAATGTCTTTAAAGAATGGAAGAGCATGTGGCCCAGAGGAAGTATATGCGTGAACTCATAAAAATCTGGTAAGCAAAAATCTGTTTAGAATGTTAACAAACATAGTTAACCAGTGCTTAAATGGTCATCCAGAACCTGAACAGTGGAAAAAGCATATATCTCCTCTATATATAAAAAAGGGCTCAAGGAAGGATCCTAATAACTACAGGGGAATTTCGGTCACCAGCACTATGAGTCGCCTCTATGGAAGGATACTGAGGAACTTAATTGAAGAGGAATACTCAGCTACAAAGAAGAAGAGCAGAATGATTTCAGAAGCGGAAGATCATGTACAGATATCTTTGCATTGAAACATATCATCGAGAAGAAATCTGCAATGAACCAGGAAGCTCATATAACATTCATCGATCTACAAAAAGCATATGATACAGTGCCAATAATAAAATTATGGGGAAGTATTGCACGAATCAAGAATTAACGCAGCTCTGATAAAAGCTGTTCAGAATCTTTACCATGGAGGAAAATCACAAATAAAAACGGTCAACTGTCTCTCAGAGGAAATTTCTATCACTAAAAAGCTCCGACAGGGTTGCTGCATATCCGCAATACTATTTAAAATTTATATTGCCAAGGCCTTACATCTATGGAAAAGAAAATGTAACGGAATGGGTATAGAACTAAATGACATATGCCTATACACCTTGCAATTTGTAGACGACCAGGCCATAATTTCAAACGACAAAGATGACATGGAATATATGGTGTGGAAAATAATTGAAGAATATGCTAAATGGGGTCTCACAGTAAATAGAGAAAACAAAATACCTTCCAATCGGAGCTAATACATAGAAATCTTATTTTAGACAATATGGAAATTAGGCATGTGAAGATTACAGGTACCTGGGATCGATATTTACAGGAGATGAAACGGACGATAGAGAAATAAACAACAGAGTAATACAGGCACGAAGAGTTATCAGATGCATAAATGGCATTCTATGGAGCACTAAAATTACAAAAACAGGAAATATAATATATACGGAGACACTAGTTAAAAGCATATTACTCTATGGATGTGAAACCTGGCGACTCACTGAAAGGAATAAAAGGAAATTAGAGACAACAGAAATGGACGCGATTAGAAGAGCAAT